CAGCATTACCAAGCTTGTAATTTGTGGCTAACCTGCAGCAAGTCTTTCAGAAGTCACCTAATCTCTCATAAAAGAACCAGAGAAACCCAGAGTTTTTCATCAAGCCAAGAGAGATGAGTACCTTTTTTTCCTGAAGATTTGTTAATACTCTTTTTTATTCCCCTCATTTCCAACCAGTAAGCAGGCCTGCGAATGGTCCGCTTGCTTCTGGACTCTGCAGTTCCGTTCACTCGACCTTTTGGTGAGGCAGAAGAAATGTTGCTGACTGTCTCATCATAGTTACTGTTCAGTCCTAGGACAGTAGTTTCCACCTCTTCAAATTGCTTAGACCTAGAAAACACCAAGTTGAAATCCTATGTATATATATGCATACGTACACACACAACCACAATAACATGACAGACAACATCCCTTTCATCTTCCCAAATATGCTAAAAATTAAACTCACAGTTCATTGAATATCCTGACTTTTGTGCACTTGTGAACAGCATAACATCTTAAATGTTATCTTTCAGTACATCTTTTAGAGAATGACATTAGAAAGTTACTCAAGAAGAACAGAAAAAAGTATTCAACCTACCTCAAACCTTCAACTTCAGAAGTAGGCACAGTCAATCTCAGTTTAAAAATATACATTTATCCTTAAGCAACCAGTGTGGAATATAAGAATTCTTCTGCAGCCTATCATTACAAAAGAGACCTTTTCTATCCCACAAAGGGCAAGACCTTCAGTATTTATTCAGAGTCAGAGCCAACAATACACAATTAAAAGCCCTAACGCTAGTAAGAATTTTAACCAGCAAGGCTTTTAGCAATGAAGACAGCATTACAGTATTTCCTACAAATCACACTACATTAAGACTGATTTAGACTAGCCAGCAGCACTGATTTTTCTTCCTAGAGATCAGAAGGAACTTTGCTTCACTACTCTCAAATATTTCTCACAGCCTTGAAACGCATGGACATTTATACTACAGTACATGACAGCAAAATTATTAGGTGTCAAAGAAACGCAGAGTATCTATTCTCTGGGCAAACACCATTAATATAAAAGAACAGAAAACAGAAATGCTTTTCACAACATATCCCATTGCTACCACAATTCAGAAACTGAAATAAGTAGATCGCTTGAACGATGACTGTGATGGCCATCCCAGCAATACTCTCCCACACCCTGAGCTGTGGATCTCAGATGTTTTAACACATCAGTCCAGAAACTAGTAAGTGGAGGACACTGATAGTACCAGGTCAGATCAGTATATACTATGTTTAAGAAGGTACTGCAGAAAGATGGGGAGAAGAATTCTCAAATTAAAGCCTTTCAATTGCAATCACACCCAAAATACATATGTTTTGGAATACCATTCGGTCTTGAACATAAACTATTTATATTCCCAGTGTTATAATCCTTTTAAAAACAATAAAGGAAAGCTAATACTCCTTGAAGTATCAGAAAAGCACTTTTGCTACAAACAAATAAGCAAAGTCAGTTGAGACTCTCATCACACAAACCAAAATCACTGCAGCTCTTAAAATTCAGAATATTATGTAAAGGCCAGATATGGTTTTCCAATAGGAATCTCAGCTTTTTTTCTTGCCCTCAGTCAAACTAGACAAGAAACATTCACATACTTTTTGTTTCCCAGAGACCTCTTCACCTTCTGTTGTCTGTGGTGTCCAGGCCTGGTGTCCTAACAAAGCAGAACAAGTCACATTACCAACATAAATTTTCTTCTTTTCCATGCTTCACTTTTCAGTTAAACAGTCACCTGTGCTTTGAGGATATGCATACCATCATTTGAAAAAGAAACCACTGTTTTCTGCAACAAGGAAGTGTTTAATCTTTTCAACTCTGGCTGAATTAGACCCGGAATTTAGATAGGGGTGAGCCTCTCTACACTCCCCGTGTAAGAGTCAATCATTCCCCTTGCACTGGAGCATGGTGGAGTGCTGTCTCCAATTCATTCAGTGCTTTCTGCCTAGACTTTATCACGTAACTGTTTTAGATCCTAACTTACTAGTTTTTAAATAGTACTTATTTTTTCCTTAATGAAATAATTCTTGCAGTTATCATGCCAAGAATACTGTCTCTAGTCTCTTTTACATCCTCTTTTCATTTATCTCAATTATTTTGTCATACTCCATCAGCTGCCCAGATGTTCACTTTATCCACATCACAGAATTCTTATGTACCAAAGATTTTATGTCACTTACTGTTTGTTGCTTCTTATGCTCCTATGCAGACATGTAATTTAACAGATACCATTGACATTCCCAAATCAGTATGAACAACTCATTTGCTGCACATTGTTCCTGACATGTGGATAATCATTTATCACCTTCTTCCAAATACTAATAAAGACTCCATATCGTTCTTCATTAGGAAATGCGAGACAAATATCTTGGCTATACAGACTAGAAAACAAAAATCATTGCCCAGGAAAAGTATATGCAATACCAAAACTATAACCTAGGAACAGAGATAGTACAGGAACCGGGTAAGAAACTTGGAAAAAAAAAAAAAAAAAAAGAATATGGATAAATTCCATATCTTCTTCATAGAAAAATGTAATGCACATTATCAACTGGATCATGCCGTGAAGTGTTTTAGTTGTTAGAAATAAATGCTGCACATTATCTGGGGAAAACAGCAAACAGGGATATGACAGAATTTGAAGAAGTCATAAAAATATGATGGCTTGTCAGAAGGAAATGCTGAGAAACTTCAGGTGCTGTATCAAAACTAGGGAATAGGCAGCTTCAAGGCAAATGAAATTCACCACCAAAAAAAACATGCAGTGAAGAAAAAAGTAACTTTAATCTGTCTTTTATAGTCTTGCCTTCTAGTTTACGCATAGGAACAAGAAGTAGCCCACTCTTCTCAGGACCATGGTCAGTGAGGTAAGAAATTCAGTAGAAGGCACTGACATCAGCTAGATGAATTCTTAAAACTGTGATTATGGAATGTCAGACGCTCCTTGGGCTTCCAGTCCCATAGTCTCCTCTCATGGAAAGGTTAAGGAAGCAGCAGGAGAGAAATCCACAACTTCTTGATCAATGACTTCACAATCGTATCTCGTCTTCTTTGGAAGAAAAGGCAACTGAATGTTTGTATCACTTTGATACAGCTTAAACACATCTAGTAACACAAATAGCAGTGTTTGGGAAACCCCTACATCAGAAATGTGGAGAAACCTCACTGAGGAGCAGCTAGAAAAAACTAGGCCTGCGAAGTTGTAAGGATAAAAATTAACAAACAGGCAGGCATACTCTGCTGCAATAAGATGGCCTAATCTACCATTAGAAATACCTAGATGATTGACAGACATGGTGCATGTTTTAAGAATTATTTTTTTTTTAGAAATATTTTGCATAAAAGTGAATATTAGTATGAAGAATTTAGGTCACAGTAAAGGATCTACCTAGCCTTCCTTTGTGAGGAGCTGATAGCAGCAATTATGAAGGAAACATAGAGAAACTGGTGTTCAAATTTTGAATATTTTTTTATTTATACAGTGTACTTCCCACTTAGAAAACAGAGACCTAACGTATGCAGGAATGCTCAGGAGCTGGACATACAGAAAACAAAAATGCCAACTTCCTTGCAGATGTTAGAAAAAGAGCAACAGCGGCCTAAAGCCTGAAAAGATTAAGATACTTCATTTGTGAGTGGGTCATTTCTGCCTCCCTATGGACTTTGGGACATTTCTGTGACCTGGAACATGGCCTGCTGCTGGAGACAGGATGCACCACAGCAACATATCTGGAAAGATGGTATTTTAAGTGCCGCACAAACTCCCACTGCAGTCAAGAGATTGATGTAGTAACTGCTAGTGAGTCAGTCCTACAGCTACAAAGGAAAAGCATCAGTGGAAGCACCAAGTGTCCCGCACAGCCCTGACTGTCCCTTCCCCCGGGGAAAAATCCCAGGGCCTGGGCCTGGTACAATGGCTCAGCACCCTTTGGGGAACTCCCTATGTCAGTCCCATGTTTCCCTTTCTACCTGCATACTTACCATGGAATGGTTTGGGTTGGAAAGGGCCTTAAAGATCATCTAGTTCCGACCCACTTACCACTAGACCAGGTTGCTCAAAGCCCCATTCGACCTGGCCTTGAGTTCTTCCAGGGATGGGGCACCCACAACCTCTCTCAGCAACCTCTTCCAGTGCCTCACCACCCCTACTTCATAGACTACCGTCTCCTGCAACGAAGCCCTTTCGGACAAATCGCACGACCGGCAGCAGGAGCCAGCAGCACCCCGCTCCGGATCCCTCCCCGGCCCCTCGCCGAGCAGAGCTGGGCCCGCCGCTCCAGCGGGTCGCCCCGCAGTTCCCCAGCTTCAGCGTCAGTGGGCGAGCAGGCCTTCAAACGGAAAGCCGGCGTTTCCGCCGCCGCCTCTCCAGGCAGCCCGGAGCGGGTCCCGCTCGCCGCCCGCCCGGTCGGGGACAAGGCCCAGGAGACGCGCGGCGACAAATGGAGCGGGGCTGCTCACGGAGCCAAGGCCGCACCGCCCGCTTATCAGCGCCGGGCCGAGCCCCCTCTCCGGCCAGTCCTAATCCCGGCGAGACCCTCAGGACGAAGCACAAGTCCCCCCGCGGCTGCTCCGGCGGCGCTGGCCCGCTCCCGCCATCCCGGCGGCAGAGCCCATCTCGCGGCGACTCCCAGGCCGCAGCCCGGCCGTGCGCCCGCGGGGCGGCAGCCGTCACCACCGACAGCACGAGCCCCGGACACTCACCGAGCAGCCGCCGCCGCCGCCGCCCCGCATGGTGCCGCCGCCGCCACGTCAGCGCGCGCCCCGCCCGCCCGCGCCCGCCCGCGCCGTCCCGCCCCCCCACTTCCGGCCGCCTCCTCACGGGCGGCGGCCGGTCCCGGGCCCCGCGGCTGGTGTCAGCGGCTGCTCCTGGGCCCCGACTGGGCCGTCCGGCGCGGGGAGGCCTCGCGAAGCCGCGGTACGTACCCGGCCAGCGGCGGCAGGGCGGCAGCCGGGTCCCGCGCGCGTCATGGCCGGGCGCTGCGGAGCCGCCCCCGCCTGCCGGCCTCTCCGTGCCCCGGAAGGACAAGTGGGAGCCGGGAAAATGGCGGCGGCGGCGGCGGGGGCGGCAGCGGCTCCGGTGTGCGTGCTGGTGCTGGGTATGGCCGGCTCCGGGAAAACTACCTTTGTACAGGTGAGGGGCGGCTGGGGGGCTGTGGGGCTAGGCTGGTTTTTCCCCCAGCGCTACCCCCGTGTCCAGCGGCGCCTTGACGGCTCCTCATGTCCCCTTAGCGACTCGCGGCCCACTTGCATGGACAGCGCTGCCCCCCGTACGTGATCAACCTGGACCCCGCCGTGCATGACCTGCCCTTCCCCGCCAACATCGGTGAGTCCCGCCGCCGCGGCTTAGCCCCGGGCTGTGGCCGGTCACGGGCAGCGTGAGGGAGGGGGTGGCCCCGAACCAGAGGTGTGGCATGTTTGCCGAGTCCGCCAGTAGTAATCAAGTACGTTTTGCCGTAAATAGAGCCGGTTTTGCTATACTGCTTTTCACATGTTTGGTGGAAGAGGCGGGGTGGGACGGGTTATGTGAGGTATCTGTCTAGGTTGTTTACATTCTCTTTAAGAGATCCCAAGTCCCAATGCAAGAAGGACTTTAAGATTATTATCTTTTAAAAATGAAATTTAACTCCTTTCTTCTACCAGTCTTTAACATGTGAATTTTTAGGACCAAAGACATTCTTCCACTACGTTTGTACATTTTTTACATCATCTGGTGTGATTTTATACGTTTGGGTTCTTGTTGGGTTTTTTGTCACCAGCAGTGACCATATTAGCAGATTCAGTCTGGTTCCTTAGGTCCAGAACAGCGGTGGCCATATATGCTACCAAATAACTTATTTAAAGCACTTTAAAAGACATGAATTTTAGAGAAAATACCGTAACAATAAAAAAAGACCTTATGTTTAGTCATTCTAAAGGGCTTACCAATCATGTCTGTGAGGGTCCTGTCTCTTAAACTTTTTAAAGTTTGTCAGCCTGCCTCTCCAGAGGATAAGAAAGGCAGTGTGGATACCAGAGTTGTTTTATTGATGTCAGATGAATAATTAGAGCATCTGTTCCGGTGCTGGATCTTTAATAATACAGTTAGATATGTATACTTTGTTAACTGAAGCAGTTACTGCTAAATACCTAAACTGGTGGTCTTTCACATTGGGTTTCATGTGTATGTTCAGGGCATAGCTAATCTGTTAGACTTTGTTTATTCTACTTGGGAGATTTTTCATGTTGATGCTAGATCTATTACTGAGACAAAAGGGACACTTTCTAGAAAAAGAAGGGCTTTCACCTACCAGCAAATCGAAGGAGGATATTTTAAAAGTCATGTCCTAAAACTATTTATATGTCTTCCTCCCCTAGATATCAGGGACACTGTGAAATACAAAGAAGTCATGAAACAGTATCCTTTTTTGTCTAAATAATGATATTTGGAATCTCAGATTTTGTGAAAATAGTCTGTCACTTCTGCCCAGTATGACGAAGGGGGCAGGAAGTGTTGGGGATTGCAGTAATGCAGAATGTTGAGAAGATCAGAAGTTTTTGGCTATGTATTTCTTGCATGTGAGGTTAGAAACTTATGTTCTACAAGATTTGATACTCCCTAGGTGAAACAAAAAAGGCCCAAACAATAGGCCTCAAACCAAAGTTGACTTCTGAGTGAATTCCCCGACCAGCAACCAGCATCTTAGCAGCAGCATGAAGCAACCAGTATCTTATCGGCATGAAATGCAACCCTGGGAACAATCCCTGGAAACTATAAGTAAACAACAGGAAGTAACTATAAATCCCAAATGTAAAGAAAAACAGAAACTCCTCAGACATGCCTGGATCCTGGTCAGATCCGGACACGCCTGAGTGAGGCATATCAACCTACCAGATATCTCCCGTGCATTTTGTATAGACTTGTTTGTTAAACTGTATAAAAGCCGGACCCTCTCGCAGCAAAGACGGAGACCTTACCTACGAGTGGACGCACTGCGTGGGACTTCCCAATTGCCGGGAAAGGCTCTCCGACCCTTCGCTGTGACGGGGCTCCCCAGCTGATGCACGGGTCTGGATGATGGTAAAGTACGAAGGCAATTGGTGATGTATGTTTCTTAATCCCTAGAGCTGGCTTTATGTAGTAATGACTAGATGCGTTACCTCGCTTATTCTTTCTGCTGCTTTAAACCAAAGTAAAATAAGCCTATTTCTTTAGCTTGGTGTCTGTGTCCTTTGTGTTAACCCCGTCAATTGGCAAAACACTAGGTCATTTTCTTCTGTGCTAGAAAGGATTCTGCCTAATAGTAACATTTTTACAAATAATAGGCACTCTGCCCACATTTTTTTTTTCCTGTTGTTCTTTCAAAGAGCTTGTATATTTTTTTGTGGAAGCCAGCTGCCTTTTCCCCATGTTTTAAAAAGTATTTTTATGTATATTTAAAAATGATATAAATAATTTAATAAAAATATATAACAAATTTTATTTGTTAAAACAAATTTGCAATTTTCTGTTTGCCTGTAGTAGGCAGAGGAAACTGTCTCCACATTGTTTGACGATAATCAAACCACTGTTGTCTTTCTGAATCTCAAAGACATTGGACTGTTGGCTCTTGCTGCACAGTATTTTGATGCCTGTAGTTCAGTAGCATTACACTAAAACAACTGCAGTTCCAGAGGGGTGCGGAGGCCCTTTGTCTCCTAAGAAATAGCTTGTGCAGATAGAGATAATATCCAGTGTTTGGGTTTGACTTGCTAGAGCAACTCTTAGTATTTTAGATAAGAATAAAGACGGTGGGGGATAGGATACTTGATTTTGGCTGTTGTTTGATATGGAGTTATCAGCAAAACATTCAGGTATAAGTTTCAGTTTGGTATATAGGTGCATTATTTGCTTTACCGTGTCTTTTAGCCATTACTGGAGCGTAAGCATCTCATTAAATAGCGCTTGAGGAGGGTGTCTGGCCTCATGTTTGGGATATTGAGAGTAGTGGCCCTATAAGACAGTATGTAGTGATGAATCAGTGCTGGTTCTTATGCAGTTAAAAAAAAATTCTTTGTTTCTTTGAACATAATTTGTATACAGATCTGCACGCATGAAAAAGGATTTTGAAATCTTTAAGCTGACACTTCAAGTATCTTTACAACGTTAATTCCCGTTCTCATTTAAATTCTGCGAAAGTGTATTTGTGCAACAAATCTTTTAATTATCTTTTGAAGTATAAATGTTTAACATTAAGTGCATTCAGGGCATTGTTAAATTTTGAGTTACTGGCTGTGTTGTAAGTATTTTTGGAAAAACAAAGATGGCTTTGATGTATACACATACGTATATTTTCTTTTCGTCCAGAATGGTAATGCTCAAATAACTGCAAGGAGAAGCCACAGCATATTGCACAGAAGTCAATCATACGTGTTTGGGCAAGAGAGAGACCGCTTCGTATTTGTTATGCTACTGCATCACTTAATTACTTAATCACTTAGAAGACTTAATTGTGTATTAGGGGTATTGTCTTTTGCTGCAACGTGTCCAGTGTGCATTGCACATGATGAACTATTATTGGAAATGAAAAATAAGCCCTCTGAGGTCTGCATAATCATCTGCTTTCCTAAATGAAGCGTCTAGATATGGGCTGGGCCCAAATGGTGGAATAGTGACCTCTCTCAATCTCTTTGCTACAAGATTTGATCAGGTATGAGGTTGCTTCTGTGGGAGACTGTGTGTGTGGGTGGTTGTGTATTTGGAGTCTCAGAGAACACTGTGTTTGGTTAGCCTTCTGATATTTCTTTGGAGTTAAGAGTATTCTCCATACAGAACCATGTATTTTACAAAGCAGCCAAAGTTCATTAGCTTTCATTTGAGAGATTTCAGTTTTTCAGCTTTTTTAAGAGTGAAATTTAGAAGCCACGTGTACAGAACATTCTTTAGTCTTTGTATATAATTGTTCTGTTGCACTATGTTCTCTGTACAAAAGCAAGGTTGTCTTTGACCTATGTAGTGTCTGAGCATGTTCCATCCTTCCTTAGTTAGGGCATTTTCACACACTGACAAGCTTTGAGTATTCAATTTTCTTCTGATACATACATGCAGCTGTGCAAGATAATATAGCTGCTGTTATGGAATGATTATGAAAGTTTTCTGTTGTGAGCCTAAATGCAAAGTATACTCCTTTTTCCATCAGGTGATGAAGTTTATTGAAAAAAGACAAAATGCATCTAAGTGAGTACATTCTACCAAGTTCTACTTTTGTGGGATCAATGTGGGAAAACCATGTGAAATCCTAAAAAGGTTCTCTGCATGTTTTCTAGTTGTTTTTCAACATCGATATAAAGTTCATGTAGAAGTGGGCATAGTTTCTTTGGATACATCGAAGAAATGTCTGCTGATTCCAGTTCTGCTTTTCTTGTCTTCCATTAGACCGTCATTTTTCCTCATGCACTGTTCAGATAGGCAACAATTAATTCTTCTGAAGAGTGTGCAGTACTAAGTGTGTGTCAAATTGATGTCTTCAACTTCAGTAGAATCTGAAGAGAGTATATATTACTTAGTTACTAAATTCACAGAGGAAATTTTCAGGCATGCCCATAAATCTTGTCACTGTTTAGGGAAAGCTTTTCTGATCTGTAACAGAATGATTATGTGATTTGCCATTATGTGCTTGTAGTAATCTAGTCAGAACAGGACCCTGTGCTTAACTAATTTTCCTTTACTGTTTGTGGGGGGTGACATTTTACCAGGTATGTTATTATTGACACACCAGGGCAAATTGAGGTATTCACCTGGTCAGCATCAGGAACCATCATAACTGAAGCCTTAGTAAGTATTTTCTACATGACTTGACCATTAGGCTGTATGAAAGAAGTGGCTGTTGAACAGCATGTGCTTCTAATTAAAATATATTTTACTTTGTGTTTCCAGGCTTCCTCTTTTCCTTCAGTTGTTGTTTATGTGATGGACACCTCTCGCAGTACTAACCCTATCACTTTTATGTCCAACATGTTGTATGCCTGCAGGTAAGAAAAGCTGAAAATGCAGTCCATCTGCTTTGATTGCTATGTCTCTTTGATACTTACTTTGGAAGGTAATCATAGAATGGTTTGGGTTAGAAGGGACCTTTAAAGACCACCTAGTCTACCTCTCCTTCATGGTCAAAGATGTTTTTCACTAGATGAGGTGGTTCAAAGCCTGGGCCAGCCTGACCTTGAACACTTCCAATGATGGGGTATCCACAGCTTCTCTGAGCAACCTACTCCAGTATCCATCGTAAAAAATTTCTTCTTTATGTCTAATCTAAACCTACCCTCTTCCAGTTTAAAACTTCTTGTTTTAAAGGACACGGACACTAATTCTAAAGTTCCTTGTCCTGTCACTACAGGTCTCGGTAAAAAGTCTGTCCCCATCTTTCTTATAAGCCCCTTTACATACTGAAAGGCTGCAGTAAGGTGTCTCTGAAGCCTTCTCTCCTCCTGGCTGAACACCACCAACTCTCTCAGCCTTTCTTCAAAGGAGAGGCGTTCCAGCGCGCTGATAGTTTTTGTGGCCCTCCTCTGGACCTGCTCCAACAGGTCCATGTGTGTCTTGTACCATGGGCCCCAGAGCTGGATGCAGTGCTCCAGGCAGGGTACCGTGAGAGCAGAGTAAAGGGGGAGAATTCCCTCCCTCAACCTGCAAGCTTGGCTTCTTTTGATGCTGCCCAGGATACGATTGGCTTTCTGGGCTGCAAGTGCACATTGCTGCCTCATATCCACTCATATCTGCTATTTTGGTTATTCTCTGTCTTGGTGGTTTTCCCTTTGGATAAGCAAAGTAATTTAGGTGCCTATGGACACGTGGAGGTCATTGGGCCGAAACACACTGAAAGCATTAAATAATCCATGAGACCTTAGTGTGATGAAGGCGAGTTACATCAGATCTAACATCTTGCCTGTTGCTTATAAAATCCTTTATCTGAGATGTATCAACGTAGCCTAGTTTAAGTTACTTCTTGTAAACACATAATATTTTATTCTATTTTTTAAATATTATGATACTTTCAGTGATTCTTCCAAGATTTTTTTGGAGCTATCAAAATTAACTGGGTGTGTAGAAGGAGATTTGATATCTTACAGATGTGTGTTTACACCTGGAGGGAGGGCGGAGGGAGGGAATGTTTTGTTCAAATATGCTAAGCAGGATTTGGATGAAAATTATGTTCCAATTGATGCAGAAGAAGATAATTACCTTTTGAAGTCAGCTGTATTCAGTCTTGCACAAGTCTTGTCTGCCTTACACTTAATTTGTTTTCTGTGCTAGTGAGATTTAAATTAATTTTTAATGCTTTTCTTGTGGGTTGTTTTTTTTTGTTTCCCTCTCTCCCCCCTGCCCCCCAGTATCCTGTACAAGACAAAGCTACCTTTCATTGTTGTCATGAACAAAGTAAGTTAAAGCTATGGTTTCTGTGTCCTAGTGGAACATTATTCTGTTTAGTTTGCTTTGCTGTAGAGTATTTGTTTTACAACAATAACAGATTTTCTAGAGAAGAGAGGCTGGGAGGGAGATGCAGGCTGAAAACTGAATCTAAAAGGGGTCTTTAATCTGGTATACAGATGCACAAGGAGAATTAGGGATGGGCAGTTACACCCAAACATTCAAGTTAGAGATGCTACTAACAATTTGAAAAATGTTTTGCATCTTAACCCTAGGCTGCAAGGAAACTTAACTTTGTAACATAAAGGTAAGTTTATTACTGAATGCACTCTTACAGTCACCTGCTTCCTCAAAACAATTGTCATGGTTTGAGCCTGGTCGGCAGCCAAACACCACACAGCCACACTCTTCTCCTTCTCTTTCGGCAATGAGAAGGGACAGATGAGCCAGGCTTGGGATTTGACATAGGACCAGGAGGGGCGAATCATCCATTATGGTCATGGCCTAAAGGCAGACTCATTAGGGGAATTAAAAAAAGAACATACATTTTTTACAGACACTAACAACACTTAACAGAGTAGAACAGTGAGAAGCATTGCCACATCTTGAGAACACCTTCCCCCCACCCCTCCCTTCTTCCCGGGCTCAGCTCTGCTCCCGATAGCTCTACCTCCTCCCCCAGTGGCGCAGGGGCAGGGAATGGGGAATGGTGGGGGTGCAGTCAGTGCTGCCTTTGGTGGGGGGAGCTTCTGGAACTTATTCCCCCTGCTCCAGAGTGGTCCCCCTCTCACAGGAGACAGTCCTCCACAAACTTTCTCCAACATGAGTCCCTCCCACGGGCCGCAGCATTTCCTTACACTGCTCCGGCGTGGTACACCAACTTTCTCCAACTGGAGTCCCTCCCATGGGCTGCAGCCCTTCCCGAGCTGCTCCGGCATGGGACACCCCCACATGCTGCAATCCTCCCGGTGCCAAACTACAGCAGGGAGGGCTGCTTCTTCCCACAAGATCCTGGCCTTCTTCAGGCAGTCACCTTGGTCAACCATGTGAAACACCTCACAGGCCATAAAACAGTGTCTGCTCCACCGCAGAGCTTCATGGGTGGCGGGGGGTGGCCACCCTGCCGTCTCCCCACAGGATACAGGGGGGTCTCTGCTCTGGCACACCTCCCCCCTCCTTTCTCCCTCCGTTCCTCCACTGACCTTGGTGTTCACGCAGCTGCCGCAACTCGTCCTCACAAGTCTGACTCCTCCTCACCACATCTCTTCTTAAATACGTTATCGCAGAGGCGCAGCTGATTGGCTCAGCCTTGGTGCAGAGGTGGAGCTGACGTGGAGCTGGCAGAGCTTCGAGAAGCTTCTCACAGGGGGTCATCCCTATAGCCCCCTCCCCTGCTACCAAAAAAACCCACCACTCAGTCAAACCCAGGACAACAATTCTCTTATTAATTATTTCTACTCAGCAGCAGGCTGATGACTCACGGTGGGAATTGTGTTACACCTGCCTGTTTTGAGGAGGGAGTCCCATATATTTTAGTAGGCAAAACTTAACAATAAGGTGTTTGGTCCTGATCAGTGACAGTAAAAATATGCCAGTATTTGCCAGAGAGCTGGTACTTCCTAGCCTAAGTATATACTTCCAGGGTTGTGCAAGGTATTTGTAGCCTTAAAGGAATGTTTCTGAACAAAACAGCTATCCACCTCTTCAAACGTAACAATTTCACATTAAAAGAATCCAGTTAGATTTTTGGTGCAAGTACTCTTCTTTTTCCCCACAGACATCCTTTGTATTCAAGGAATTGCTCCCCAAAATATCGAGCTTTGTGTGTTTGCACACACATATATATGCCATACGCTTCCTCCAGAAAATCCATGCTTTGAATGTGAAATTTTACCTCACACCAGCCAAGTAGGATTACTGTCTGATGCACTCCAACTGCATACATCTTCCTAATAACCCAAACCATGCATATCTTTGATATCTGCCTGCTTACTTACCAAGTTTTTGTACACAGTTTTCTTTCTAACTCAAGACAGTCATTTTAGAAGCTGTTAAGCTTTTTCTGTAAGAAAAAGGCATGACGTAGTAAAATAATTCTCTCTTAAAATAATTCTCTCTTAAGAAAATACATTTTTTTGAAAGACTTAAAGAAATAGGACTTCATCTCAGTATATGTAAGGAAAGGTAGGCCCAAGGCTTAGGATTCATAACTTTAAACTTAATTTTGATCTGATGCTTAGCCTTTGGTAAAAAGTAAAGTTTAAAATGGAAGTTTTTTATCTGTCCATTTATCAGTCTAAGGCTAAGAATTCATCATTACCTCTCCTGAAAATTTTCTCTTCTCTTTCCAGACTGACATAATTGATCACAGTTTTGCAGTAGAATGGATGCAGGACTTTGAAACTTTTCACGACGCCCTGAATCAGGAGACATCCTATGTCAGTAACCTGACTCGTTCTATGAGTTTAGTGTTGGATGAATTTTACAGTTCACTGAAGGTAAGAATCTTCCTTTTTTTACTACCTCTTAGAAAAGCCTGGAGAAGAGAAAGTTCAAGGAGGATATTATTGATGTGTATAACTACCTCATGGGCAGATGTAAGGAAGACAGAGGCAGGCTCTTTTCCGTGGTGCCCAGTGAAAGGACAAAAGGCAACAGACACGAAGTGAAATGCAGGAAACTGTTTAAACAGAAGAGGAAAAAAGAATGATTGTAATTTTACTGATTGAACACTGAAACAGAAGGTCCAGAGAAATTCTGGAGTCTCCATCTTTGGAGATACTCAAAATATGCTCCGACAAGATATTGAGCAACCTGTTCTAGTTAATCCTGCTTTTTGAGCAGGAGAATTGAACTAGATGATCTCCAGAGGGGTCTTCAAACTTCAACCATTCTGTTCTGTAAAAGAGCTTTGGACCGTCCTTTTCAACTGAAATCTGTTGATGAGCCTTGCATTGAGTTTGAGGATTTGCTGGTTTAAACATAAAGTATCTAGTTGCTTGTCACACTGAGTGGCAGCCTGAATCGTTTAATACTGAATTGTGATTAATCATCAGAAGAAAGCTAAAATAGGCTGGTAAGAAGTAATTTTCTGTGTTTCACTGTCTCCCATCTGAGATAATTTTCATTGTTCTGAAAGTATCAAGTACAGTTGGGCAATTTACTGTGTAGGAAGAAAGGAAAGAATCTCAGGAACAAACAAAAAAATCCTGTATATTTGCTGATGCGAGAAAAAGTGGGTTTTTTTCCACTTACCAGATGTTGAGAGGACAAATCTATTCAGTTTCTCTGAAAACACTGCACATTGAAGGATATTAATGATCCCATGGTGTGTGCTAAAACGGTTCAGCTAATTATGTTTTTCATGAGCTTTTACTTAAGAAAAAGGAAGCAAATGGCTTTATGGATATTGCAAGAGAGGCAATGAAAATAAATTATTCCATTTGTATGGACAATAATAATTTAGCCAGAACAAAAATAAGTGCCCTATGTGGAACATTATTTTAGAATGGGTTGTAGTACAGGACTAAAGTACTTCCTAGCCCTTATTTGCTAATTAGCTGTTTATATGCATGTCACATCTATTAGAATAGTAGACTGGAGAGCAGGACATATGCAGAGGATTATAGAGGTAGAAGTCAGCTTGTATTTAAGTACAAAGAAAGTATAAGTATGAATATATATTGGCACAGTGCCTAGGCTACTGCTTTAAAATCCTTTGGAATATTTGATTGTCTGCATATTTACTGTACTATTGATAAAATGCAAGGCTGTGTTGGAAAAAGTCTTATTTTTGAAAGCGAGTAGTTAAGACTGTCCTGCTTATGAAAAAGAGGAAGCATTTTCATTAGAGGATGTAAGATTCATAAGGGTCACCAAGTACTGGCTAGTAATCATCTTAATTAAAGGTATTTTTAGAGAACTGATTTAATGAAAGCAGAACAAATAGCCGGAATTATAATGACAGACGAGTTCAAATTAGAAAGCAGATGTGCATTTTGAATGTACTGCCATAGTAACGGATTTAATTCTCCATCTCTTGCTGTTCTGGGGGTTGGATTGGGTACCTTTTAAAATGTGCTTCAGCTAAATACAAAGTATAGGGACCTCAGGGGCAAAAGGTCAGTTCTCGTGGTCTATTTTGCACTTTAATTCTAGTACACTGATACTGCAGCAGTTATACTAACCACATAAAATGCTAGGTTCAGAATGAGAACTTGGATTGTTAACAATAACCAAGTAAACAGAAGAAAGACTTGATCTTTCTTTTGAATAGCCCTATCTTGTTCATTATGTTTAGGCATTGTATTGTCTTAACTATGTTTTTTTGTGGGGTATTGAGATTGGAGGTACAAGTATGGGTGCAGAGTCAGATTTCATTTTTTTTTCTTACTGTTGCTCCCCGCTTCACCCCATGGTAAAATTTGTAAAACAGACGGGAAAACCCAGGTTCCTGAGCTGAATAGGAGAAAGGAGAAATTAAAAACAAAACCAAAAACCCACTCAAATCAGAGGTATTAAACATTAACAGCAGGTGGAGAAAGAAGTTGAAAGTGGGAATGACAGAAGTGGAAGTATCACTACATAGTCTTATGCCACTGTGATGATTAAATGAGTATCTTTAGTCTCCTATTTTTTTTTTTTTATTATTTTTATTTTAGGGGGTTTCTGGGTGTTGGGTTTTTTTAAGATACTGATTAGTCTTTTCAGCTCTGATCATCTATCAGTTAGCTAAAAACTTGGTTCTGTTATTCTTCAGTTCTGGTACATGGTTTTCTTTTACAGGTGGTCGGTGTTTCTGCTGTGCTTGGCACAGGACTGGATGATTTTTTTGTTCAGCTTTCTAAAGCTGTGGATGAGTATGAGAGGTAAGGTGATAACCTTTGGTCCCTGACCTAGTGAATACTTGCTGAAGTTACTGATCCATGAGTTCACGCCTTTGATTTGAAGGACTATTCATTTTTCACAGCCAAGGTAGTCTAGAGTTTCTAATAAACTTAAGTGCAAGAGTCAGCATAAAAAACAGTAGTCAAAAGGAGCTATTCAGTGGTGATTTTTTGTGCCAACTGTTCAGTGAAACAGTAAAAGCTATCTGTGCCAACAAATCTGTAAAGTAATTTTTTTCCCTCAGATTCCATACACTGATCAAGGTTTGGATTGTCCTCAGGAAGCTAGCATGAGTTGGGCAGACTGAATAGATGAGCAAGTTGAAATTCAAAAATTCTTTAAGAATTTGCTCCTTACTAGATTCCTCCCCATGAAATACTGCCAGGATGCTCTATAACATTAGAAAGCACATCCAGTGACTTGGTTTACTTGGAAAAACCTAAATCAGGCCATAAATTGTTGTTCAAGGAAAATATATCATGCTGGATTGGACAGCAAGAGAGAAACTGCTACAGCTTCATGCTCCCAGGTCTGATTAGCCTGGCCTGGTCATGCCCCTTGGTCTGCATACTGCCTGGTCTCTGCTTGCATGCAAATAGACCCATTTATTCCCTTATCTGTTTCCCACACTTGTTCCTTCACAAATCTTCTAAGTCCCTCCTTATTCCCACCTTTGGTTCCTCCTCTAAACGTCCCATGTTAAATCCTGTGTTATCCCCAAATGCTCTTTCCCTGCATCCTATAATGTGTCCTGCACCCCTAGGCAGCCACCCTCCTGTGCTCACAAGGTGATCGAGAGACCACCCGGTGAGGCACGGTGACGGGTTTCACGCCTGGACCGTGGGGCTCATGTTTCTCCTGGGACAGCCGGGATAAGGTATCCCTTCCTCTGAGTCCTTAATTTGGATTACCTGCCTGCCACAGTGCCCCTGTGTTCCTCTGGGCTTGTTGAGATGGGTCTTTGATGGTTTGATGGCTCGCCTGGGAGTACCTGGGCAGGGTATTATGTGTACTCTTCTCCCCCTTCCCCTCAAATGTTTGGAGGTGCTGAGGAGTATTACCATATAACCTAACAGTTATTCTGGGATACACTAGCTACATAATGAAACCTTAGTTAAGCGTTTCACCTAAGCTGCCAGCGAGCACTTGCAGCCCAGAAAGGTGATCATATCCTGGGCCACATCAAAAGAAGCCAGGCCAGCAAGTCAAGGGAGGTGATTCTTCCCTTTCTACTCCACTCTCACGGTACCCTGCCTGGAGCACTGCATCCAGCTCTGGGGCCCATGGTACAAGACACACATAGACCTGTTGGAGCAGGTCCAGAGGAGGGCCACAAAAACTATCAGCGCGCTGGAACGCCTCTCCTTTGAAGAAAGGCTGAGAGAGTTGGTGGTGTTCAGCCAGGAGGAGAGAAGGCTTCAGAGACACCTTATTGCAGCCTTTCGGTATTTAAAGGGGTCTTATAAGAAAGATGGGGACAGACTTTTTACCGAGGCCTGTAGTGACAGAACAAGGGACAATGGTTTTAAACTGGAAAAGGGTAGGTTTAGATTAGACATAAAGAAGAAATTCTCTATGATGAGGGTGGTGAGACACTGGAGCAGGTTGCCCAGAGAAGCTTGGGATGCCCCATCATTGGAAACGCTCAAGGTAAGGTTGGACCAGGCTTTGAGCAACCTTATCTAGTGAAAAATGTCCCTTCCTGTGGAAAGGGAAGTTAGACCAGATGATCTTTGAAGGTCCCTTCCAACCCAAACCATTCCTTGATTCTTAGAAGAGAGTATCCATATCCACTTTATTCTTACTTCATTAAAGAAATATTTCAAAGGTCACATAGTGGTACAGTATTTTGGAAGTCTGTGAACAGTTTTTGTGTACGAGATATCACTGAACTGTCTTAGGAGGCACAAGTACTGGCTGGGAAAGTCATGTCTGTGATTAGAGGAATGTGATAGGTCTGCTGATTAGGTATATCAGTGAAATGACTATCTCAGTTGAGCTGGTTTAATTTCTTACCCAAGAAGAGAGTGTGAGAAAAGTTTGGTATTTTAATGAAGTATGTTCACTTATTTTGTATCCATTTGTTTTGGAACTCAAATCTGGGTAAAAAGTACAGTTAGTCTTTCTGAAATGTCTCTCAAACGTGGAAGGCTAAAGAAGAGAAGGCTCCAGAGAGACTTTACAGCGGCCTTCCAGTACCTAAAGGGAGCTACAGGAAAGATGGGGAAAGACTTTTTATCAGGAGTGGTAGTGATAGGATGAGGGGTAACAGTTTTAAACTGAAAGAGGGGAGATTTAGATTAGCTATAACGAAGAAATTCTTCCCTGTGTGGGTGTTGAGGCGCTGGCACAGGGTGCCCAGGGAAGCTGTGGCTGCCCCCTCCCTGGAAGGGTTCAAGGCCAGGTTGGACGGGGTTGGGAGCCCCCTGGGCTGGGGGAAGGGGTCCATGCCCGTGGCAGCGGGGTTGAAACTACGTAATCTTTAAGGTCCCTTCCAACCCAAACCATTCTGTGATTCTGTGAAAACTTTTTTGGGTAGAAACAAGCCTCCAATATGATCTTTATTTAATGTAAATCATGTATTAGTTCAGACTGAATGCATTCTCTTTATCTTTTCAGAGAATATCGTCCAGAATATGAGCGCCTGAGAAAAACACTGGTAAGTATTTTTAACTATTGTATGCCTGGGCAGTATATCTTGGGGTCACTTTTATGCACACAATTGCTTGGAGGGTCTAACATTTCATTTACTAGTTATACTCATTATGGAAAAACTCCAATCCTGAAGCTCACCATGTGCCTTTTTTTGCCTAGATTTGGTGGAGCAAAATATATTTCACAAAATAAAGATGTTTTATAAAACATGTTTTTCACAAAAATAAAGATGTTATGTAAAACAGATGTTGCTCAATGTTCTAGTGCTAATTATTTATTTGAGTAAATTGTGAGAAAATAATTGGGAAAGATTCTTATATCTTCCCGTCAGAAGGATAGAGACTTTATTAAAAATAACTTTCCAAAGTGATTTCTTGAGAATATCGCTGTATCTTTCCGCACCAGTGAAGTGTACTGTTTTGATTTAGACAAATAATAACGAAGACCAAATTGCAGTACCAAGATCAGTAGTTCTGTTCACCTTGAGTTGCAGCTGTCCAAAGGACAGTTCTCTGCAGGCACAACTTCACTGAGTTTGACTTCCTGATGCTGCTGAAAATGTTCTTGAAGTCTGTTGTGCTGGAGGTTGCTTCCTATGTTTAGCCAAAAGTTCTTTGTAACCTTAGTTGCAACGTAAGACCTGATTATTGACTTCTGCTTTCTGGCTGGGAGACGACTGCTAGTAGTGAGTGAGATTACTCTTCTACTGATGTTTTAAATGTACTCAGAATCCACATGTAACTTTGTACCTACAGGAGAAAGCTCAAAATAAAGAAAAGAGAGAGCAGCTGGAACACTTGTGGAAGGACATGGGCAGCGTGTGTATGCAGGGCAACACACTTGCAGGTACCTTACTAGGAAGTTTACTGCAGAAGTTGTCAAGAGTCTGCCTTGAGAAGTCATTCAGTGCTTTTCTGTCTTCACAGCAAAAACATGAAAGCAGTTTCATGTTAGTAAAGAGGAGTGGGGCTTTAGTTCCTGCGGGATGGGTCAGAAGTAGCTCTTCTATGTGTCAGTCACAGACGTGAGAAGAAATCCCGCTGTGTATAAAGCAGTGGACAAATTAGAAGAAATGAAGTACTTTAGAAAAAGTGAAAACAGTCAGATTAGAATATGAGAAAGCTCTGCTGCTGGTTGAGCTGTTGCCTTATATGAGGTTGAGTATGGTGCTGATGCAGTCTGTCCCATATCCTTGGAATCCAGAAGCAGCTTTCTGTCCCTTTAGGTATTAATTGCTATGTTTATGTGCAAATAGAACTTGTCAGGGCACAAACTAACTTACTTGTTAGCATGCTGTTTTGTGTGTAGCCATTTCTGTTCCCTTCAAGGGTCTGATGTTGCTTCTGCAATGGGTCCCTCTGAGCTGATCCTAACTCGAGGAACTCTTGATGAAGAAGAAGAGAGGGAGAGTGATACTGATGACATTGACCATGAAGGTAAGGGAATGAGGGATCTGATCTGGTCTAAAAGCTGCCTGTGTAGTCAGGAAATACCCTATGTATCTCATTAACAGGATTGACTGTAATGAGAGCCTAGAAAACAAGCAAACGTTCAGTTACCTAAACATAGGTGTCTGAATCTGTAGCAGAAGCCCAGCTACAATGCTTAGTCCAGTGATATCACTCTCTAACCTTTGTAAAAGTTGAATTGTAAATTTTCTATTCAAGTAATTATTTTTAATAGGTGTATAACATGCATAAACCAGACAACTTGTTATGCTTGGAGCATGCAGTGACCTCTGAACCTAATTAATGCACAGTATGTTTCATCAGCTTTTTGGCCTTACGATTTCTGTCCCTGGCTCTCTCCCCTTTTCCTGTGACTGCTGGTCTTGGAGCAATCTCCTAAGTTCTTGCAGTGTGTGATTTTTCTCTTATATAGCTCACAGACCTAATCTTCATTCTTTCCCTGTTACACTGATTTTTAGGATCACTTATTTCTTTTGCTATGTAATGAAGTTGAATATCAAGTCGGCTTTTTGTATTGCTCTGACTAGCCTGACTCTAGCTTTCTTCAGTAACGCCAAGTGCTGAAATAGTGCTGAACTGTGGCTTTTTTCCCCAGTTACTGAGGAGAGTCATGAAGAACCAGCCTTCAGAAACTTTATGCAAGAGACGCGGATGAAATACCAGAGAAGAAGCAACTCAAATGAATGAGACCTTCAGAAACAGAAGGTTTGGAATCCATTGTAGTGGAGTTAAAAGTAAAGGAACAGCATAAAGAAACTTGCACAGATTCATGCATCAAGTCTTCTATCTGTCAGCAACTTCTTCTGATATTTATATCTTCCTTCCTGCAGTAACTGGTGGTCATATGAGTTGAAGGTCTTGTATCCAACTGACTGTATGTTTGGCCACGTGCCACTGACTTCCCAAAGCTGAAGGAACCCAGATAGCACTTTCTTTTGCTCCAAATTCTTCAGATGTGCCTGTTGAGAGCTTAGATTTTGAGCTCTGAGAGCATTAGCAACTAGAGTACTTACTGGTCTCCAAAAGTGTATTCTGTTCACCTTGTGCAGACAAGTGTCTGCTGCAGCCAGGACACAAGTGAAATCTCCGCTGCGTAAAACTTCATCGGTCAAGTGTTTGATGTTTCGGTTTTAATGAAATATATTTTATATACTAACAAATGTGTGATGGTTAATAGCAGGAGACTTCATTTCACCGTTCTAACGTGAGACTTTTTTTCTGTGCTTACAGCCCACCCACCTGTATGTATGCAGAGCAAATGCATCTTAATTATATTACACAGACACAATACAGATGCCTCCTAGGAAAGTCATGAGTAAAGAAGGTTAGTAGGAGGGAAAGTAATAAAAAGAAACTGGCTTGATTTGGCTGAGAACTGAAGTATGCACGACTGTACTGGCTAGGTAACATACAACAAAGGCGTGTCTGCGGATGAGTGCTTACTTGGAATATAGACAAGGACTTGGAGACTGGCTAATACTTATTTTCCTGATGGGCACCACAGGCATGGGTGTTCACTTGCTGTTCACCATTCTGAACTCTGGAATCTTTGTTTTCTTTCCCTTCGCACAATGCTGTGGCCTCAGTAGAGATACTTCTCGGTGGGAATCTGTCAGCAGGGTTTTATAGGACAAATTCTACAGGTTTGTGAAAAAACAGTTTTGTGAATTTTAAGTCTAGCTGGAAGGGAAGGGAAATTGACAGCCAACTGTTACCTGGCAGCTCTGATACGCTTACTGTTTTATGAATGTAGGGCTTTCAAAGAGTATGACCATTTCAAATTTAGGTAAACTAGACTGATCATAGTGAGAAGTAGTATCAGAAGCAAAGCTATAACAAAGATTTCATAGCATATTGGTAAGGTTAAAATAATACATTTGTTGATAATAAAATAGTTTGGGTTGGAAGGGACCTTTAAAGGCCATCTAGTCCAACCCTTCCACAATGAGCAGAGACATCTTCAACTAGATCAGGTTGCTCAGAGCCCTGACCAACCTGACCGTGAATATTTCCAGGGATGGGGGCATCCACCACCTCTCTGGGCAGCATGTGCCAGTGCTTCACTGCCCTTATCATAAAAAATGTCTTCCTTATATCTAGTCTGAATCTACCCTCTCTTAGTTTAAAACCATTACCCCTTGTCCTATTGCAACAAGCCCTATTAAAAAGTCTGTCCCCATCTTTCTTATAAGACCCCTTTAATTACTGAAAGGCTGTGATAAGGTCTCCCCAGAGTCTTCTCTTCTACAGGCTGCATCCCCAATGTGTTCCATCCCTCTCATCAGTTTTAGGGCCTCCTCGGCCTGTTCCAACAGTCCCTGTCTGTCTTGTACTGGGGACTCCAGAGCTGGACACAGCACTGCAGATGGGGTCTCACAGGAGTGGCGTAGAGGGGGAAAATCCCGTCCCTTGACCTTCTGGCCACGCTTCTTTTGACACAGCCCAGAATATGGTTGACTTTCTGGTAACCAACCCCCCCTGTCAACTTGTCCTCAGAGACACAGACACACGTGTGCCCTCCCCCCCCCTTATTGGCCCTTGATCAGGGACATGGCATGGCCAGACAACCCTCTCACCAGCAACGTGTTCATGTGTGAATGGAGCCTTTTATGCCCTTATCCTTTTATTTTTCAAGGCTTGTTCCTCCTCCAGCCATGCTTACCCTGTGTTTTCCCCATCTTTAGTTCCTCTAGTAAACATACCATAATGAGTTATGTGCAATCCCTAAATGCTCTTCCCTCGCATCCCATATTTGGGTCGTGTAGCCCTTCACTGTAACATGACCTGGAGAACCTCTTCTACTGCCTGTGATAGCTGTCGCCCTGGACTGTGTCCCAGGACATCCCTACGAGCAGCCAATGCAGGGACTCCTTTCACTGGTGTTTCCTCATCTGTTAGCACCTCTGCTCAGGTTTATGTGGATGAGGTTTTTATCACATAACCTACCAGGGAACCATAGTTAAAGCTTTGGAAAAACGCTCCAAAATTAAAATAACCCAAAGAGACTTTGGTAGTTCAATTAATTTGCAGGATAACATTTTGAGGGCCAGCAACTTGAAGGGAAGTCAGCCCATTTTACTGATTTTAGTCCTAAGGAAGCATGTGCAGAAGAGGCCTAAGAGGGGTAGCAGTTCCACACTCCTTACCCGTCTGGAGCCTAGTGTTTCTGAAACTTTCTTTCTCCACCTGTCTGACCCGTTTTTTAATTCCTCCCTCTCAGCCCCATTGCCCCTGCGATCTTTTGCCTTTCACTGTCTCTCTCTGGTCAGCTCTTTGTCCCTATTTATTCCTGCCTTTCCACCTCTTGCTTTTGTCCTTTCTCCAGCTCACTGTTTCTGGCTCCTCGATGACCCTATTTTAGACTTACTCCCTTCTTTCTGTACACATTGCTATTCTTTTTGCTCTTCAGTTCTCTTTTTTTCTGGCTTCCCGTCCCTGTTTGTTTTGTGGTGTTCCCCTATCATTGGCTGTCCCACATCCCTGTCCCTGTTGCTTCGTTCCTCCCTTTCTGCCCTGTTGTTGGTTGCCTCTTTGACTTTCTCCCTCTCTCCCGGTGCAGCTCCCTGCCCCTGTTCTTTTGTGAGGGAGCTCGGGGGGGTGGGCAGGAGGTGGCCCCCCGTCCCTGCAGGGCTCCAGCTGTGGCCGGAGCGGGAGAAGCCCCAGGTGAGCGCAATGAGGCTGATGTCGCGGCCCCTCCCTGTAAAGGGACCTTGTGAGCAGCGTACCCGCGGGCTGTGGGGCTGGTGCTGCCCTGCCCCGGGGGGCCGTGGAGGGGCCGGTGGAAGCCATGGGGAAAGGGGCGCCGCCTTCGCGCTCGTTGCTGCCGCCTTTCTGAGGAAACCGGGCGCTGCAGGTGGGGCGCTGCACATGCGCCGTGAGGCACCGCGAGCCCGCGCCCACGGCTGTCGCCTGGCGAACGAAATGCAGTACTGCATACAGGGCGCCGGTAACGGCAAAACAATACTGCGGTGCCCGCGGAGCGGCGCCGGTAACGGCAAAACAATACTGCGGTGCCCGCGGAGCGGCGCCGGTAACGGCAAAACAATACTGCGGTGCCCGCGGAGCGGCGCCGCCGCGCCCGCCGCTGCCCGAGCGCGGAACTGCAGGCCCGGTGCCGCCCCCGGGCACGCGCCGCCCGCCGGGCGCTCCCCGCTGCTGCCGCCACCCGGTGGGCGAAGCGCGGTACTGCAGCCCGGCGTTCGCGCGCCGGCTCTGGCCCCTCCGGCGCGCCGTCGGCGGCCCCTCCGGCGCAGGCGCGGTGCCCAGGAGAGAGGGGAGCGCGGCGGTGGCGGTGGTGGCGGTGGGTCGAGGCTGTCGGTGAGGCGAGCGAGCCCCTTGGGCGGGGGGGGGTGTCTCCTGGGGGCGGGAAGCTGCACCCCCTCCGCTGCGGCAGGCGAGCCTCGCCAGCGCAGCCCCGGGGAGTTCCCTGAGAGCGGGAAGGGGGGAAGGAGGCGGGCGTCCCCGACTCGCCAGAGATCCCCTTGAGCCGCCCCCGCCCCGCTCGCCCCGTGCCGCTGCCCTCAGCTCCAGCCCCTCCCCTGGAGCCTGTCCCGTAGCCCCAGGCCCCCCCCAAGCCCTGTCGTGAGGGCAGCGAGCTGGCCCGCAACTGCATCTCCAGCAGCCCCTGCAGGAGGGGCCGTGGCCAGGGGTGGGCTCTGGTGCTGACAATCTGTTTCTTCTTTCCGTCTTGCAGAGGCTGCGCTGAGGATGCGGCTGTCCGTTCCTCCCCTGGGGATGCTGCTGACTGCACCCGCCTCAGGCTTGCGTGGGCTGTCTCTGCCTGGCCTCGTGCACCTTGCGGCGTGGCGGCAAAAAGGAACAGGCGGAGCGGTGGCTGGCGGTGGGCAGGAGTTGCCATGGCTGACGCTGGAGGGGCCAGAGAAAGGCAAAGAGGACTAAACCGGTGGTCATCTGGCCGGCAGCTGCCTCCCGCTGCAGGAAGAGAGAGCCAGCCTCTCCGGGTGAGGAAGGATCCCGCTTCGCAGTCTGCAGCAGCTCAGACCACCAACGTGCACCCCAGGGTCTGTATGTCTCACTGAAAGTGTGGTACAGCCACGTAATGCACGGGCGAGTGGGGCTATGTGCGTAGGAGGCCTCGTCCCGTAAGAGCTGAGACACCCCCGTGTTCTCTTAGGTGGAGGACAGCCGAGCTCCTGGAGCTAGAGAAGAGGAAGTGGGGAGGGAAGGAGAAAGAAGCGTCTGAACCGGCAGCTTATCCCGGCAGCGCCGAGAGCGAGAGCTGCTGCAGTGAGTCCCAGGCCCATGGGGCCCTGTCGCCCCTCTTGCGTGTCCCGGGCCCTCCCCTGGCCTTTTCTCTTTCCCACGCTGCTGTGATTTTCTTCGTTTCCCTTTACCTGTCTGTTGTTCTGTCCTGCTCCCTCTTCCTCTCTCTTGTTCTGCCACTCCCTTTTCTTTTTCTCTCTGCGCTTTTGTCGTGCTCCCTCTTCTTTTTTTTTATCCTCTGTCTCTTGTCCTGCAACCCACTGGTGTTTTTCTGCTCTCCAGCTGTCTGTCCTGCTACCCGTCCTAGGCTTTTCCCCCTCCTTGTCTCTTCTGCTCCCTCTCTCTTATTCTTGCCTGTCTTTCACTTTGTCCTGCTTTCCTGTCCCTTTTTCCTCTCTCTGTATCACCTTGTCTTGCTCCTTTGTCTTGGTCGGACAATCTCTGTCCTTCTCCTTGGCCTTCTTTTTCCCCCTCCTTATCATCCTCCATCCTTCTTCCTGTCTGTCTTTTTTCTCTTTCTGTCCTTCTGCCCCAGAGCTTCTTTTTCCAGCTCTCGCTCCTGCTCTCTGCTGTCTGTCCTTCCCTTTCTCCCTCCCTCTTTCTCTGACGTTACCCCCGCGCTCCTCGTTGTCTCTCCACCCCTCTGTCCCGCTTCCTATCTCTCATTTTCCACTTCCGTTTCCCTGTACCTGCTTTTGGTCTCTGGTTTTCCCCTGGCTCTGCTTCCTGTCATTCTTCCCGTTGCTCTGGCTTGCTCTCTATCCCAGTGTTCTGCTTCCCACTCCTCCCTTTTTCTTGCATTTCCATCTTCTTGCTTCCCATCCCTCACTTCTTTTCTGTACCCCTCTCTCCTTCCCCCCTGTCCCTCTGCCTCTGGCCTGCTGCTGGTCCCTGGTTTACCTTTTTCCCTCTCTCTGTCTGGGCTCTGTCTCTCCCTCTCTCGGTCCCTCTCTCCTTCGTGCAACCTGTATCTTCCTCTCTCTGTCCCTCTGCCCCTAATGCTTCTTTCTTTGTCTCTCACTCCTGATCTCTGCCCCTTTCTACCTCTCACTGTCCATCTGTCCCGCATCTTCCCTTGGGTTATTCTGCTTTTATCCCCCTGCCCGTCTCACTCTTTCTAGTTATCTCCCCTTGTCCGGCCGTCTGTCCCTTTTTCCCTTTTTCTCTGCCCTACTCTGGCCCTACTTTTCCTTCCTCTCTCTCTGCCCAGCAGCCCATCTCCGTATTTTTATCCCTCCTTCACCTGTTTGTATTCATTTGCATCTGTTTCACCCCCTTCTGCTGCCCCCAGTCCCTCTGTCACGTTCCTTGTCCTGCTTCTTGTCTTTCCGCAGCCCGCGCTCTCTCCCCACCTTTCCCTCTCTCTCCATCCTTCCTTTTCCTCTGCGTCCCGTTGTCCTGTCGCTCATCTCTCTTTTTTCCTTCTGTTTCTCTGTCCTGCTCGCTGTCCCTTCCTTCTTTGTCAATCCCTCTGTCCCGTTGCCTAGCGTGACTTTTGCTGTCTGCACCCCACTGCGCTGTTTCCCATTCATCTCTTTCAGTTTTCCTGTCCTGCTCTGCAGCAGTGTATTTTCATTCTCCAGCTCTCTGACCTGCTCCCCGCCCCCCTCTTTTCCACTCTGCCCTTCTTTCCCCCTCTCTACACCTCTGTCTGAAAGCTCGTGTCCCGCTGCCTGTCCCTCTCTGGCTACATCCCACTGGCCCGCTCCCTGTGCCTCTCTTTGCATCGCTGTCGCTGTCCTTGTCCCTCTTTTCTTTCTCCTTCCATCTCTCTGTCCCACTGGCCATCTCTGTCCAGGTCTTTTTCTGGTTTTTCTCCTCTCTTGGTTCTTCCTCTTTTCTTTCGCTCCTCATCCCTCTGCCCTGCTTTGTGTTTCCGCCCCCTCGCTCCCGTAGTGTCCTGCTGTGGGTTACCCGTCCTTCTCCCTGTTGTTTTTTTTCCCTCTCACTCTATTCCTCTGTCCTGCTCCCTAGATAGATTTTGTTTTGTTTTGTTTTGTTTTTTAATTCTCAGTGTTTCTGTTATTCCGCCCATTGCTATTTTTTAATTCTCCATCTCTCCTGCTCCCCATCCTCCCCCTTTCTCTCTCTGTCATTCTTTTCTCTTCCCTCGACCTCTGCTTTTCTCTCTCCTTGCATCCTACTCCCTCCCTCCCGCCCTCTCTGTAACGCTGTCCTGCTCACCATCCCTCTCTTGCAGGACACTAGAAGAGAGGAGAAAAGTGGCAGTGCCGCTTTTTCTTTTTACCTTTCTGATGTGTGTTTCCCCCAGTCCCCGCCTTTTCCAAGTGCCGGTCTTTCTCTCTAGATACTCCTGTCATTCTCCTCCTCTTGCTGCTCTTGCTCTTTTTCTCTCTCTCCGGCTATTCTGCTTCCCATTGCTATTTTTTCCCTTTCCATCCCTTTGTCCTGCTTTCTTGTCCTTGTCAGTCTTTCCCTTTGTTCTTCCTCCAGTCTGTCTCTGCTCTCACTGGCTCTCTATCCCAGCGTCCTGCTCCCTGTCCCACTCTCTTTTGCAGGATCGTGCTTTCTGGCTCTCTGTTCCTCACCTGGTTTTTATACCACTCTGTCCTTCCCCCTGTCTTTCCTCATCCCTCTGGCCTGCTGCCCATTGCTGTCTTTTTTTTCTTTTTTTCCTCTCTATGTCTTTGCCTTGTTATGGTGATACTCGTCTTCTTGCTGTCTCTAGTGTTCCGTTGTCCATCTCCGCCCTGTTCCCTGTCCCTTCTCTCTTCTTCTCTCCTCTGTCATCCCCTCAACTTTTTGTCTGTATATGCCATGCTGCTGCCTGTCCCATTGTTTCTTGCCACATACCTCTGTCCAGCTGTTCTGCTCTCCACTCGTCATTTCCTCTCTCTTTCCCTCTGTCCTACTCTCCTGCACTTAGCACGCGAGTGAGTGGGACTGCGTGTTCAGGAAGCTTTGTCTCGTAAGAGCTGTAAGACTCAGAGGTATCCTTGTAGGTGGGGGACAGCCAAGTGTCTGGAGTTACAGAAGAGGAAGGAAGAACGAGGAAGAAGCATCCCAACTGTCTCGTTCTCCGGGCAGCGCCGAGAGTGAGAGCTGCAGTGAGTCCTGGGCCCTTGGGGCCTTATTCCTCCGCTTGTGCGTCCCGGTCCCTCCCTGTCCCTCCCCTAGCCCCCTCGCTTTCCCACACAGCTGCTATTTTTTTTTTCCTTTCTGCCCTGCACCTCCTTTCTCCACTTCACTCTGAGTGGCCCCCTGTCCCCATCTTTTAGGTCCTCCCTCTCTCTGCCCTGTAGCCTGTGGCTATTTTTCCCTTCTCCGTATTTCTCTGTCTGGCTCCCAGCCACTATTTTTGCATTCCTCCCTCTCTGTCCTGTAGCCCGTCAGTATTTTTGCTGTGTCTGGAATTCTCTGTCCTGTTCGCTATCCCTGGTGTTCAGTCTTCCCTCTCAGCTCTGGAGCATGTCAAGAGTCTATTTCTTTCTCCCGCCTCTCTTTACCCTGCTTCCCGCCCGTCATTTCAAGATCTTTCTTCTCTGTCCTGTCACCCATCGCCTTTTGCCATTTTTTTTTTCTTTCTCCATCTCACTCTGTCTTGCTTCCTGTCCCCTTTTTTCTAAGTCTTCCCTCTCCCCCCACTAGCGTGTCACTCTAATTTTCTTTCCCTGTTGTTGTGGTTTGAGCCCAGAGGGCGACGGACTGCCACACGGCTGCTCACTCGCCTCTTCCCCCTCAGGATGGAAAGGAGAAAATAAAGCAAAAGGCTCGGGGATTGAGGTAAGGACTGGGAGGGATGACTCATTGGCTGTGGTCATGGGCAAAAGACAGACTTGTTAGGAGAAGGAAAGGAACGTCAATTTAATTCAAATGACAGCAACACGTAGCAAACGGAGCAGGACGATGAGAAGTGTAACCACATCTTAAAAACACCTTCCCCCCCGCCCTTCCCTTCCTTCCAGGCTCAGCTTTGCTCCCGATTTCTCCACCTCCTGCCCCGCAGCGGGGCGGAGAACGGCTGTTGCAGTCGGTTGGCCACACGTTGTTTCTACTGCTCCTTTCTCCTCAGGGGGAGGACTCCTCATGCTGTTCCCCTGCTCCAGCGTGGCATCCCTCTCCCAGGAGATGGTCCTCCCTGAACTTTCTCCCACACGAGTCCTTCCTGCAGGCTGCGGCTCTTCCTGAACGGCTCCAGCGTGGGTCCCTGCTGCGCCTCACAGTCCTCTTGGCAACAAAGTACAACGGCGGCGGGGGCTTCCCGCAGAGTCCCGGCATTCGTCTTTGGGAGCAGCCGCCCGCTCTGGCCGGCGGGATTCCTCCACGGGCTGCAGGTGGGCATCTGCTCTGCCAGCGACTTCCACGGGCTGCAGGGGGACAGCCTGCCATCTCACCACGGGCGGCAAGGGACGCTCTGCTCCATTGCACCCGTCCTCACCCTCCTCCTCCTCCTCCCCCTTCTTCCACTGACCTTGTTTTTGCACAGCTGTCTCCCTCACAACTCCCACTCATCCTCCCAGGTTCTCCTTCTTAAATGTTAGCTCGGAGGCGCAGCCACCGTGGCTACTCGGCGTGGACTTGACCGGAGGTGGGTCCCGCTTGGAGCCGGCAGAGCTTGGTGGATGTCCTCACGGGGGCCAGTGCTGTAGCCCCTTCCCCCGCTGCCAAAACCCCCGGCCACACACACAAGCAAACCCAACACACCCGTCTCGGTTTGTCTGGCTCCCAGTCTCCTTCATTCTTCCCTCTCTGTGTCACCTGTCGCATCTTTCCTCCCTCCCTTCCTCCCTCTCTCCCTCCCCCTCCCTCCCTCCGTCCCTCTCCGTCTGTCTCTGGTAGCTGGATGCAGCTTTTTTCTTTGTCTGTCTCTCTGTCCAGCTCCTTGCTTCCAAATCTTAATTCTACCCTCTCTCTCCCTGAAAGCCTGCTGGGACTTTTTCTTCTTCTCAGTCTCTCTGTCTCTGTTTTTTAATTCCTCCCTCTCTGCCCTGTTACCTGGCAGCATTTTTACTGACTCCGCGTCTCTTGGTCTGGTTCGAGATCCTGATTTTTGACATTCCTCCCTCTCCGCACTGCAGCCTGTCACTTTCAAAGCTCTCTTTCTCTGCCCCTCGATGTCCCCTCTTTTGTACTTACTTTCTCTCTATGGCTCCCCGGCTCTGTGTTGTCATTCCTTTCTCTCTGTCCTAGAGCCCATCAGTAGTTTTTTCTTTCCCTGGCTCTATTTTCCAGTTCCCAGGCCCTGTTTCTCCAGTTTGTCCTTCTAGGCCCTGTGCCGCATTGCCACTCATTTCTTTTGCAGTCTCTCCCCGTCCGGCTCCCTGCAGGGATTTTTTAATTCCGCCCTGTCTGTCTTGTAGCCCGCTGCTGATTTTTCTTTCTCTGTCCAGCTCCCTGTCCCTCACTTAATTTTTTTTACATCCTCCCTCTGTGCCCTGTACATGTTGCTCTTTAAATTTTCCTTCCCCGGTATCTCTGTCGATTGCTCCCTGTACCTGTTTTTTACTTCTTCCCTCTCTGTCCTGTGGCCTGTTGCAATTTGTTCTTTCTCCGTCTCTTCTTTTTCTGGCTCTTGGTCACTATTTTTCAGTTTCTCCCTCTTGGCCCTGTAGCCCAATGCTATTATTTGTCTGTCCTCATCTCCCTCGGGCTCCCCGTGCCTGTTTTTTAATTCTTCCCTCTCTGTGTTGCAGCCCATTGTTATTGTTCTAGTCTCTGTCCTGCTCCCTGTCCTGTGTTCCATTTCCTCCCTCTCTGCCCCGTAGCCTGGTGCAGTTTTGTGGTTTTTTTTTTTTCCCCCGTTCCCCATTGCTCTCTGTCCAGCTCCCTGTCCCCGCTTTTTGATTCTTCCCTCGCTGCCCCACGGCCTGGTGCTCTCTGCCCTTTCTCAGTCTCTTTCTGTCTAGCTCCTGGTCCCATCCTTTTTGAAATTCCTCCCTCTGTCTCTGAGCCCATCGTGGTTTTTCCTTTCTGCATCGCTGGCTGGCTCCCGCCCCCTGTTTCTCAGTTTCTTCTGGGCTCTTTAGCCTGTGGCAATTTTACTTCCTGCTCTCCGTCTGTCTCTGGATCCCAATTTTTTAATTCCTCCTCCTCTTCCCCGTAGCCTGTCTTTCTGGGCATTGTCCCCTCTTTATCTATCTCCCTCCTCCTGTCCGGCTCCCAGTCCTGATGTTTTAATGCCTCCCTCTCTGCCTTCTAGCTGTTGCTGTACTTCCTGTAAGCGTTGCTCTGTGTCTGGCTCCTCGTCCCTCTCTTTTCATTCTTCCTCGGGGCCCGTCAGTATACCTGTCTCTTACCGTCTCTCTCTGGCCAGCTCTGGATCCCTGTTTCTTCCTTCTTCCCTCTATCTGCCTGGTAGCCCCTGGCTATTTTTATTTTCTCCATCTCTTGCTGCCCAGCGCCAGATCCCTGCTTTTTCATTCCTCATCCTCAGTCCCATAGCCCCGTGGTTTTTTGTCTTTGTCTGGCTCTCTTTGTCTGGCTCCCTGTCCCTGTTGTTTGGTTTCTTCCTTCTTGGCCCCGTAGCACGTTGTGATTCTGTTTGCCTCTCCTTTCACAGCTCCCCATCCCTCCCTTTCCATTGCTCCCTCTCTGTCCTGTTTCCCCTTGGGCCGTGCCCACCCCCCACCCCCCCGTCTCCCCCTTTCTCCATCTGCCTCTTTCTTGCTTCCCGTCCCTGTTTTTCAAGTCCTCCCTCTGACGTGTAGCCTGTCGCTCCTTTCTCTATCTCTCTGTGTCCCTCCCAGTGCCCCCGTTCTTCAATCATTCCTCTCTGACCTGTACCCTGCCGCTATTTTTGCCTTTCTTTGTCCCTCTCTGTCCAGCTCCCCGTCCCTGTTGATTAGTTCTTCCCTTGCGGAGCTGCGGACGAACAACATGCCGAGACGGGTTCAGTGTGGAAGATAGAGCATCAATCACCGTGTGTCTTTATTGGTCCAGGGTACATATATTTATACAGACAATGATAATTATGATGCCTACTAGTCACTAGCTGATTGGCTTAAGCTCTAAAGGTCGTATTCGCACAGTCCACCTACTTGCAGTTAGCTTACAGCACAAGCTTCTCATAACACTAAGTTTCTCATGCTACTATTTCTGATTCCTCTTGACTTGTTTTCGATACACGACAGTACCATAACACAATGTTTCTCAGACCACCGTTACCATAACACTAGGTTTCTCAGACCACTATTCCTAATTCCCCTTAACCTGTTTTCGACACATCACAGTACACAAGGCCGAAGCGTCCTTGACATTCCTCCTGTATCAGCAGCTGCGAGCAGCTGCAGGCAAACCCTAGTGAGGCTCAGCATCAGCAGCTAGAGCAGGCTCTGATCATACAATTGCTCGGTGGGCTCAGGACCCTTGTCTCTGAGCCATTCTCCAACATTCCCTCTTCTTGCACTTACCGCTATTGCCTGTGATCTCCATCTCTTTTCATCTGGCTCCCCGTCCCCAGCTGTTAATTCCTCCTTCTGCCCTCTGTAGTCTGTCTGGAATTTTTCTTTGGTGTCTCTCTCTCTGGCTGGTTCCCTCTCTCTGTGTTTTAATCCCGCATTCTCTGTCCCATAGACCCACCACATTTGCCTGTATTTCTCCCCCCGCTGCCCCTCTCTGTCCGGTTCCCCGACGCTAGTTTTTATTTCCTCCCTCTCTGTCTTGTAGCCCGTCGCCGTCTTTGTGTTCCTTTCTCCGTGTCTGTCTGTCTGGCTCCCAGTCCCTGTTCTTGACTCGCTCTCTCTTTGCGGTAGCCCGCAGCTACTTTTTTTTGTGTCATCCATTGCATTCTGTCTGCTCCCCTGGCCCTGTTGATGAATGCCACCCTCTGCACTCTGCCGCTTTTCCCCGTTCTATTTCTGCCTCTCTCCCTGTCTGGATCCCTGTCCCTGGTTTTTCAATTCCTCCCTCTCTGCCGTGTTGCCCTTGCGATCTTTTGCCTTTCGCTGTCTCTGCGTGGCCAGCTCTCTGTCCTTGTCGCTTTTTTTGTTTCTTGACCTTGGTGTCCCTGGCTCCTCGGCAACCCTATTTTAGAATTCCTCCCCCCCTTTCTTTGTGTACGCACTGATATTCTTTCTCCTTTCCAGCTTTTTTTTTTTCTGGTTCCCTGTCCCCATTTCTTAATTCTTCCATCTCTGACCTGCAGAGTGTGGGCATGTGTTTTGTTTTGTATTGTTGCAGCTCCTTGCCCCTTCCCTCCGTTGTTGGCTGTCCTGGCTCCCTATCCCCATTGCCTTTTTCCTCCCTCTCTGCCCTGTTCTTTGTTGCTTTATTGTCTTTCCCTGTCTCTCTCGGTCCGGCTCCCTGCCCCCATTCATTTTTTGTCCCTCTCTTGTGCTGCTCATCCCAGGTTTTTTCTGCATATCTATCCTGCTTGCAGTCCTTTTCATCTAAGGAAACATTAAGCCCCCCCACCCTCAGGAAACATTGCACCTGGGGGTTGAGATATGCTGTTTATCTGATAACATGGGAGTTGCAAGGGGAGGGCTGGCACCAAAGTTGTAGTTGGGGAATCCGGCACTGGGGGCTTGGGGTGGAGGATACGTTAAGGATTTCTTGGAAGTAATTGTGATATTCCCTCCCTATTCCCGGAATTGTGATATAGGTAACATTCTACGTAATAAAAAGGAGCCGCTTCTCCCTCCAAACACGCATGCTTGTGGAGGAGTTATCCCCCATGTGCCCAGCGCTGAATAAACGTACCTACTTTATAACATTACTGGTTGTAAAGTCATGATTCTGCTCATCACTTTGTTGTTCTGCCCTGCTCTTTCCCCCTCTTCCTGCTGCCTCTCTTCCTGCTGCTGTTGCAGTTACCTTAACAAAGTAGCTTGAATCCTAGAATGTTATTTTGATTTTAGTTTAGAATATTATTTTGATTTTAAAATTGAGTTATAGCAGCTTTAAGAATATAAAGCACACTAAGGCCCTTAGGAATAGGTAGCTAGTATGGTGTGTGCTTTGAACACTGTCCGAATCATTATGGACTCTGAATCAAAACAGTGGGTACTGGTTATGGATCTTGAGTCAAAACAATAGGTACCAGAAGATACTGGGTTTGGTTTGGAAGATCAGCCAGAGAAGAAATGAGCATCAGCCAAAGATGAATTGGTGATGCGCAAGGATGGAGTTCAATCAGCGCACACAGTGATGAAGACTATTGACGACCACCAGAGGACCCCCGTCCAACATAACCATGCATGGGTTAGAGACATTTGCATATCATAATGATTTCCAGGAAATAACATGAATATGCTAATCATTACACTCCCATCATTCTATTCAAATCAATCAGTAAAGATGACCAATGATTTCTGTAGAATAGGAATATAGGTAAGGTGCGGTAACTGAAAGCCAATCATTATTAAGGTCAAACTAAACTTTGTGAATTTTGTTGATCTTGTGTAACCATGACTCTGCTGAAAAAGTGTATAAATATGTTGTGCTTTGTACCTGTCGGGGAACACGTTTTTTTGTGGAGTTATCCCCCGTGTTCCCCAGCGCTGGAATAAAGAAGTGCCTGCTTATCTGCCTTGTGTAGATAAGTTCTATTCGCAATTGCCACCTCTAACATCTCTGTCCTCTCTGCTGCCACAGAGGTCCATTATAAAAGTACAGGGGAGGAGGACCACACTTTGTCTAAAATAGAGAAGAGGAAGGAAAGTCTAAACGAGGGCCCCCTTGGCTGGGCATAGATCAATGTGCACAGTGTAAAACTTTGGTCATTGGAAGAATGAAAATATATGGAATTGGCGACTCGCAAAGTGACTATAATTTATGTATGAGGCTCTTTACAACGATCCAAATTTTAACAAAAGTAAAAGAATTTACTACTGGAAAAAGAAAAGGGGGGAACTGATCTGAGAAAACACCCGATAACCCCCGCCTTTCAGGAGATGCTCACACTAACTTGATAGCGCCCCCCCCCCCCCCCCTCCCGTGGGATGCTCCCCAGATGGCCTCCATCCATCAAAGGATGGTAACTCCTTTGCAATGGATGGAATGAGAAAGAACAAGATGGACCATTGGTGGTCCCTATCAAAGGGCGGTAACTCCCTTGTGATTGAACGGAAGGAAGACAGGATGGGCCATCTCTGGTATCTCTTGTCCTTGAGATAAGAGGGGAACTGAAACCACTAAGCCAGAAAGACCAAGGAGCTGCAAATTAGCCCAGACTTGAAGGACAAGGTGTACGTGACTACAGGACTGAGCTTGCGCAGAAGTAAGGGTCAACTAGCAAACACCATGAAGAAGACTATGAGCCTTCATCTGAAGACCCCTGCCCATGACCACCAGGGAGCACTGTGCAAACGCGACAGGAGGCATTTGGGGTGGGGGGATATGTTAATGATTTCTCAGAACTAATTGTAATATTCCCTCCCTATCCTCAGAGTAATGATGCATATGTATTAGAGTAGATGAATACGTAACATTTCTAAGCAATAAAAAGGAGCTGCTTTTCGCTCCCAGTGGGGAACGCATTTGGAGGAAATGATTCCCCTGTGCGCCCAGCGCTGAATAAACATACCTACTTTATAACCTTACTGGTTGTAAAGTCGTGATTCCGCACCTCATCGTCTCGATGTGTCATTTGTATTGTAATTGTATTAGAGTTGCTGACCAATCGGTGTCTAATAGGAGTGTTTGGAAAAGCACCAACCTGTGATTTGGGTGTATAAAAGAAGCACCTGCAGCTGCCTTTAGCTGTGCTGGATTTGAGGAAAATCCACTGAGCCCCCAGGCCTGAATAAAAGACAGTATTGCTCCTGAGCCTGTTAAGATGACCTTATTGCAGGCCGGGTACCGACGGCCCCCCTGCTCCCCACGGGCTCCAGCTGTGGGCTGGGGCCGGGGTAGCTCAGGTGGGACAGGTGAGGTGAGGATGGGACCGGGCCAAGGTTTTAAATAGGCTGCAGCTGGGGAGCTGGGGCTGGACTGGGGCAGCCCCAGGTGCAGCCCCAGGTGCAGCCCCAGGTGCAGCCCCAGGTGCAGCCCCAGGTGCAGCCGGTGAGGCTGAGGGTGGGGCCGGCCCTGCTGTGCCGAGGGGCTCCAGCTGGAGTCGGGGGAGGGGGGCTTCTCTACCCGCGGGATCTGGCTGAGGAGTGAAAGAGAGTCTCAGCCGCGTCTGCCCGCGGCCAGGAGCGGCCGGTCCGTGCGGCGAGGAAGGATTCCTCCCGGCCGGCCCCGACGGGGCGCAGCACCGGCGCCGGGAGCTCGGCGCCCCCGAGCCGCCGGGTGGCCGGGAAGCCTCGCGGGGGAGGCGCTCGGAGGCGCGTGCCGCCCGCCCCCGCGTGGGTGAGGGTCGGGCAGCCGGCGCTGCGGAGGTGGGAAGGGGCGGAGGCGGAGAGACGAGCCCCGGGGCTGCGAAAGCCTCGGGCCGGGGCCGGTACCGGGAGCTGCGGCGGGTCGCGCGTCCCCCCGGGCCGGTCCCGGCCGCGCTTCTCCAGCTGCCCGCCTGCTCCCGCCTCCGGCTGCCTTTCGGGCTGGCCGGGTCCCCGCAGCTTTTTGCTGTTCTGCCGACACCGCCCCGTCCCCCGTCGCCTTCTCCACGTCCTTTCCACGCCTCTCCCTTGCTGGCTCCCCAGCCGCCTGAAGCATTTCATTCTTTCCACGCTGCCGCCTTCCCTGTCGCTTGTGAAAATCGCATCGGAAGGTCTCCCTCTACCCGGCGACTCGTATCTGTTCTCATCATCTCCCTGTCTCTCTCCCTCCCTCACTGAAATCGGGTTTAGCGTTAACGAGCGGGCATTGCTTTATTTGGCCGGGGACGCAAGGGAATCGTTCTGCCTAACATGCTTGCTGTACGTTACGATAGCCAAAGCTTATATTGCTCCGTTACGTGTCTATTTATGCAATTTCCAAAAAGTCATTACTATAATCACGTAATTATTATGTGTGCAGTTTAGGTCTCTGAGGGACTTCCGCGGGGGTTGTCGGTGGTCTCTAGCCACCTCTGGTGGTCTTTGGAGAGATCCTTTCTTATACTTGTCTACGGTTTGGAATTGGTCTTTCTTTGGTTTATGTTTGCACTTTCTTATCTCTTGCCTAGCTTCAGCTAGCTTGTTCTTTTTCAGAGGGCCTTAATCTTCAAGGACAATGGCTCGCGATTAGGAGTCTCCCGATTTCCTCATGGGGCCTCTCCACATCTGCATTTCCCGGGAGGCGTTTATCACGCTCGCCTAGCTCAGGGACCTCTGTGTGACGGACAACGCGTTGCAGGTGTTTGACCAATTGCTTAAGTTTTTACACTACCCTAAACAATGTTTTTTCCTTCACTGTTTTTCAACAAGAGGGCACTGGGAGGACAGGAGGACATGAGGAAGGACTGGAGGACACTGGGGGACATTGGGAGGTCTGCGGGGCCACGGAACATAAGGGGAGGCCCTGGACACAAACTGGGAGACACTGGATGTGCTGCAGAGGGGCCTGGAGGACACTGGGGGCATACTGGGAGACACGGTGGGGACTGGAGCGATACTAGGGGGTGTCTGGCAGGACTTGGCAGACCCTGGATGGACTGGGAAATGCTGGGATGGGCACTGGGGGACACTGAGAGGGACTTGAAAGCACTGGGAGTTACCAGGGAGTCTGTGGCAGGACTGGGAGACACTGAGGGACTCTGCAGGTGCACTGGAGGGACGCTGAGAGGGACTGGGGGGTGCTGGGAGACAACGGATGGTCTGAGGGGACACGGAACAGAGTGGGAGATGCACTGCAGAGGACCGTGGGGGGGATGCTGGGAGGACTGAAAGGTACTGTAAGGATCCTAGGGGGTCTGAGCAGGACTGGGAGGACACTGGACGGGCTGGGACACAGTTGCGGGCACTGGAAGATACTGGGAGGGACTGGAGGGCACTGGGGGAATACTAGGGGGTCTCTGACAGGACTAGGAGGACACCGGATGGACTGGGAGATGCTGGCGGGCACTGGGGGACCCTGGGAGGGACTGGAGGATACAGGGAGACGCTGAATTCTGTGGGAGGCACTGTGTGTGCACTGGGAGACACTGGGAGGGAGTGGAGGCCACTGGGGCTGACTAGGGGTCGAAGGTGCAGGGAGTCTGGTTGGTGTGCAGGGGAACCACACAGTGCGAAGCAAGTCTTCCTGGGTGCACGGGGCTCAGACAGGGTGCAGGGGGTCTGTTTAGGTTGCAGGGGGACTAGGCAAGGTGTAGCAGGGCTAGTTGGGGTGCAGGGGTTCTTTCTGGGGTGCGGGGGGTCTGGTTGGGGTTCAGGAGGCCGAGACAGGGTGCTAGGGAGCCAGAGAGGTTACAGCGGGTCTGATTGGGGAACAGGGAGCCAAGACAGGGTGTAGGGGGCACATACAGGGTGCAGGAGGTCTTCTTGGGGGGGCAGACGGTTCAGACAGGGTGCAGGCAGGTTGCAGGGCATCTGGTTGGGGTGTGTAGGATCTTGTTGCGGTGCAGGGGTTGTGTGTCGTGTGCGAGGGGTCCAGACAGGATGCTGAGTGTCTGGCTGAGGTGCAGGGGGCCCAGGCAGGGTCCAGGGGGGCCAGGCAGGTTGCAGGGGGTCCAGAGAGGGTGCAGGGGGTCTGCTTGGAGTGCAGGGGGGGAAAGCAGGGTGCATATGGGGGCTAGTCAAGAGCAGGGGCTGGGGCTCTCTTTGGGGGACAGGGGGTCTACGTGGGGTTTGGGGAGCCCTTACAGTATGCACAGCTGCCAATCAGGGTGCAGGGGGGGGGCAGAGATGTTCCATGGGGGCTAGTCAAGGTATAGAGACCACCTGTTTGGGGTGCAGGGGGTCTTGTTGGGGTGCAGGAGACCCAAACAGGTGCAGGGGGACCAGGCAGGTTTCAGGGGTGTGTTTGGGGTGCAGGGGGTCTGCTTGGTGTGCAGAGGGCACAGACAGGGTGAACAGAGGGGAAGTGGGGCACATGGGGTCTAGTCAAGTGCAGGGGGTCTGGTTGGGGTGTGTGTGTGTGGGGCAGACAAGGTGTATCAGGGCTGGTTGGGGCTCAGGGCATCTGCTTGGGGTTCAGGGGACCTAGACAGTGTGAAGGGGCACAGGACAGCCTGTAGGGATGCCAGAGAGTTTGCAGGGTGTCCGGTTGGTGTTCAGGGAGGCCAAAGAGGTCGCAGGGGGTTTTCTTGGGGTTCAGGGCACCCAGACAGAGCGCATGGGGGCCAGACAGGTTACAGGGGCCTTCTTGGGGTGCAGGGGGCCCAGACAGGGTGCATGGGATCTAGTCAAGGTACAGAGGGACTGTTTGGGGTACAGGGGGTCTGGTTGGGATACAGGGGTCTCAGACAGCATGCAGGGCGTTTTGCTGGGGTGCAGGGGGCTCAGAGAGGTTTCAGGGGGTTCTGGTTGAGGTGCAGGAGCTCTGTTTGGGAAACGTGGGACCCAGACAAGTTGCAGGGCATCTGTTTGCTCTGCATGGGGTTCAGACAGGGTTCAGAGTGTCCAGGTGAGGTGCAGGTGGCCCAGACAGTGTGCAGGGGTTCTGTTTGGCATGCAAGGCATCCAGGTGAGATGCAGTGGGTCTGATTGGGGTTCAGGGCACCGAGACGGAGTTCAAGGGGTGCAGGCAAGGTGCAGGGTGTTCTGGTTGGGCTGCAGGGATTGTAGACAGGGTGCAGGGGATATTGCGGGGGTGGAGGGGGTTCAGACTTGTTTCAGGGAGTTCTGCTTGTGGTGCAGGGGGCCTGTTTGTGAAGCAGGGGACACAGACACGTTGCAGGGGGTTCTGGTTGCGGTGCAGGGGGTCTGGTTGTGGTGCAAGTGTGTCAGGGTGCAAGGGGTCTTGTTGGGGTTCACATGGTTCAGACAGGGTTCAGGGGTTCTGGTTGGGATGCAGGGGTCTCAGGCGGGGTGCAGGGGGCCTTGTTGGGTTGCAGGGGGTTCCGACAGTGTTCAGGCGTTCTTGGGAAGTTGGAGGAGGTTCTGTTTGGGGTAAAGGGGTGCTGTTTGTGATGCAGGGGGCCCAGACAGGGTGCAGGGAGTCTTGTTGGGGTGCAGGGGGTTCAGAGAGGTTTCTGGGGATCCAGACAAGTTTCAGGGCCTTCTGGTTGGGGTGCAAGGGGTCTGGTTTGGATGCAGGGAGCCTAGACAGAGCGCAGAGGGTTCAGACAGGCTTCAGGGGGTCCAGGCAAGTGTCAGTGGGATCTGGTTGGGATGCAAGGAGCCCAGACAGGTGCAGGGGGTCTTTTTGGTGTGCGAGGTGTTCAGACACGGTTCAGGGGGTTCTGGTTGCGATGCAGGGGGTCTTGTTGGGGTGCAGGGAGTTCAGACTGGTTTCAGGTGGTTCTGTTTGTGTTGCATGGGATCTGCTTGGGATGCAGGTGACCTAGACACAGTGCAGAGGTTCTTGTGGGGGGGTAGGTGGTTCAGACGGAGTTCAGGGTGTCTTGTTGCCGTGCTGCATGTTCAGATAGGGGGGGTCTAGGCAAGATGCAGCCATTTCGGGTTGGGTGGATGGTTCTGGTTGGGACACAGGGAGCCTAGACACGGTGCAGGTGGTTCAGACGGGGTTTATGGGGTCCGGGGAAGTTTCAGGGGGTTTTGGTTGGTGTGCAGGGGGTTTGTTTGGGCTGCAGGTGACCTAGACACGTTGCAGGGGTTCTGCTTGGAGTGCAGGGGGCCCAAACGGTGCAGCGGGTCTTGTTGGGGTTTAGGTGGTTCAGGCAGCGTTCAGGAGGTTCTGGTTGGGATGCAGGGGTTCTGTTTGGGAAGTAGGGTAACCGGACCCGTTGCAGGCGTTCTCTTTTGGTTCAAGGGGGTTCAGAGAAAGTGCAGGTGGCTCTGGCTGGGATGCGTGGGGTGTGTTTGGGGCGCAGGGGGTTCAAATGGTTGTTCAGGATGTGCAGGGAAGATGCAGGGGGTTCTGTTTGTGGTGTAGGGGTTCTGGTTGGGGTGTAGTGGTTCTGGTTGGGGTGCAGGGGTTTCATACAGGGTTCAGGGAGTCCAGGAGAGATTCTGGGGTTTCTGTTTGGGGTGCGGGGCCTCCAGGCAAGCTGCAGGTGTTCTGGTTGGGGTGCTGGGTGTTCAGACAGGGTTGAGGCATTTCTGTTTGTGGTGCGGGGGTTCTGGTTGGGGTGCAAGGCACTCTGACGAGTTGCAATGGTTCTGGTTGGCGATCAGGGTGCCCGCACAGGGTTCACGGGGTCCAGGCAATGTGCAGGGTGTTCTGGTTGGGGTCCAGGCGGTCTTGTCGGCATGCTGGGTGTTCAGACGCTCTTCAGGATGCAGAGGGTGTGTTTGGGGTGGAGGGCCTCTAGGGAATGCACAGGGGGTCTTGTTAAGATGCAGAGATCCCAGGCAGGGTCCAGGGGTGCTTGTTGTGGTGCAGGGGGTTCAGAGAGCATTCAAGGGGTCGAGGCAAGGTGTGGGGGTTCTATTTGGGATGCAGGGGGCCCAGACTGTGTGCAGGGGGTTCAGAGATGGTTCCAGGTGTTCTGGTTGGGGTGCAGCGTGTCTGGTTGGGATGCAGAGAACCCAGACAGGGTGCAGGGGGTCTTGTGGGGGAGCGGAAGTCACAGACAGGATGCAGGGAGTTCAGACAGGTTTCGAGTCAGTGTTGCGTGGGGTCTGGTTGCGATGCAGGTGACCTAGACGCGGTGCAGGGATTGTTGTTGGGGTGTAGGGGGCTCAGACAGGGTTTGGGGTGTCTCGTTGGGGTGCTGCATGTTCAGATAGAGTTCAGGGGATCTAGGCAAGATGCAGCCGTTTCTGGTTGGGGTGCATGGTTCTGGTTGGGATGCGGGGAGCCTAGACACAGTGCAGGTGGTTCAGACTGGGGTTCATGGGGTCCAGGGAAGTTTTGGGAGGTTCTGGTTGGGGTGCAGGAGGTCTGTTTGGTTTGCAGGGCCTCCAGGCAAGGTGCAGGGGTTCTGATTGTGGCTCAGGGGGTCCAGGCAAGGTGCAGGGGGTTCTGTTTGGCGTGGAGGGAAGCAGGTGACCTAGGCACGTTGCAAGGGTTCTGCTTGGGGTGTAGGGGGTTCAGACAGGGTTCGGGGGTCCAGGCAACCTGCAGGGGGTTCTCTTTCGGGTGCGGGGGGCTCAGAGAGGGTTCAAGGGCTCCAGGCAACGTGCAGGGTGTCTGATTGGAGTTCTGGGGGCCCAGGAAAGGTGTACAGGGTTCTGCGTGGTTGCAGGGGGTCTTGTTATTTTGCAAGGGGTTCAGACAGGGTTCAGGGTGTTCAGGCACGATGCAAGGGCTGCTGTTTGTGATGCAGAGGGGTTCCAGACAGGGTGCAGGGAGTCTTGTTGGGATGCAGGTGGTTCAGAGAGTGTTCAGGGGGGTCCAAGCAAGGTGCAGGCGGTCTGATCGGCATTCAAGGGTTCCAGACAAGTTACAGGGTATTCTGTTTGAGTTGCAGTGGGTCTGGTTGGGATGTAGGGGGCACAGACAGGGTTCAGGGGTCTTGCTGGGGTGCAGGGACTTCAGACAGTGTTCAGGGTGTTCTGTTCATTGTGCAGGGAGTGGTTTGGGAAGCAGGGGAGTCAGACTCATTGCAGGGGGTTCTGGTTGGGGTGCAGTGTGTTCAGACAGCGCTCAGGCGATCCAGGCAAGTTGCAGCGACTTCTGTTTGTTGTGCAGGGGGTTGGTTTGTGATGCAGAGGGCTCAGACAGAGTGCAGGGTATCTTCTTGTTGTGCGGGGGCTTTCAGACAGTGGTCAGGGGGTACCGGGTGTCTGTTGGGGGTGCAAGGCATTCAGGCCAGGTGCAGGGATTCTGGTTGTGGTTCAGAGGGACCAGACAGGGTGCAGGGGGTCCTGTTGGTTTGTAGGGGGTTCAGACAGGGCTCCAGGGACCTCTTTGGGAAGCAGGGGACCCAGACACGTTGCGTGGTTCTGGTTGGGGTGCAGGATGTTCAGTCAAGGTTTAGGGGGTCTCGGCAATTCTGTTTAGGGTGCAGGGGGTCTGTTTGTGATGTACAGGGCCCAGACAGTGTGCAGGGTGTGTCATTGCAGTCGTGGGGGTTCACACAAGGTGCAGGGGTCCTGGTTGGTGTGCAGGGGGCATTGTTGGGGTTCAGGGGCCTTGTTCATGTGCAGAGGGGTATTCTTGGGGTATAGGAGTTCCAGTTGGGCTTCATGGGGTACAGACAGTGTGCAGGGGGGCCAGGCAGGATGCAGCAGGTGTGGTTGGGGTGCAGAGGGACGAGACAACGTGCAGGTGTTGCGAGCATGTTTCAATGGGTTTGGTTGTGGTGCAGGGGGTCTGTTTGGGTTTCATGGGGCACAGAGTGTTTACAGGAGGTCCAGGCGAGGTGCAGGGGGTCTTTTTAGGGTGCAGGGGTTTCAGACAGGTTGCAGGGGATATGGTTGTAGTTCAGGGCATCTGGTTGGAGTGCAGGTGTCCAAGCAATGTTCAGGGAGTCTGGCTGGGTTCAGGGGTCCCACAGAGGCTTCATGGGGTCTTGTTGGGGTGAAGGAGGTCCAGTTGGGGTTCATGGGGCCCAGGCAGGGTGCAGATGGTCTAGACAGGTTGCAGGGGGTCTTGCTGGTGTGCAGGAGGTCTACTTGGTCTGCAGGGGAGCCAGGCAAGGTCTCGTTGGGATTCAGTGGGTCTGGTTGGGGGGTTCATACTGCAAAGACTGGGTACAGGGGGTCCGAGAAAGGTGCAAGGAGTCTGGTTTGGGTGTAGGGGCCCCTGAGAGTGCGCAGAGGGTCCAGCCAGGTTATAGCTGATCTTGTTGAAATGCCGAGGGCCCAGGCAATGTGCAGGGGGTCTTGTTGGTGTCACAGGTGTCCAGGGAATGTGCAAGTCATCTGGCTGGGCTGCAGGACATCTGATTGTTTTGCAGGGGGTCCAGACAAGGTGCATGGGGGCCAGGCGAGTTGCTGGTGATCCGGTTGGGGTGCAGGGGATCTCATTGTTGTACAGAGGGCTGAGACAGGGTTCAGTGGGTCCAGGCATCGTGCAGGGGAGCTGGCTGGGGTTCAGATGACACTGACAGGGTGCAGGGCATCTGGTTGCTGTCAGGGGGTACGATTGGCGTGTGAGGCACTCAGAGTTAGCACACCAGGGCCAAGCGGACTACAGAGGTCTTGGTGTATAGAGGGTAAGTTTGGTGTGCCGGGCATCTTGTTGGGCTGCAGGGGGGCTGGTTGAGGTGCACAGGGTCCAGGCGAGGCGTAGGGGCTCTTGGTGAGGTTCAGGGGGTGTAGTTGGCCATCTGGGGGCCCAGAGATGGCCCCGGGGGGCCAAGTAGTGAGCACGGAGTCTGGTGGGGTGCGGGGTCACCAGGCAAAGTCTAGGAGGTGTGGTTGTGGTATGGAGGAACTCATTGGTGTGCGTCGCAGGCCAGCAAGGTGCACGGGGTCTGGTTGGTGTGCAGGGGGCTCAGACATCTATGCTGTGAACAGCACATCTTTAACTTCTTTCCCCATTCCTTCTCTTATGTTAAAACGGTAGGGTCGCTCGGAATCATACATCATCCTTTTGCCATTCCGGATGATTTAGCCACAACAAGACAAATCAACCTAAGGCACTTCCTCCTGTTGCCTTTCAGAGGCATGGCGACCTGGTTCAGGAACGGCACAGCGACCAACCCCAGGCCACTCGGGCCATCAGCTCACAGACACCAATGTGGTGGATGGCAAATGGTGTTTTATTGAGGAATATACAGGCCTTATATAGCTTGGGTTTACAACGTCACTTCTGTCTGCTTACATCACTGCTACATTACTATTGGCTATCGGGGTATCAGAAAAAGGGGCCCTATCTTTCCGTACAGCGCGATATCTTCCGACCGCCAGGCCCTCACTACCTACATCCTCCTGTTTCCCTTCCCTCCAACAAAACAACATCGACAGTATATAGTGTTAAGCTGTAAGGTCCGTTCTTTGGCCACTTCTCTCGATCTTCTAAAACGTACAGTGGCCACCAACGATTACAATAGTCAATTAATTGTTTCCCAGATAAGGGGTTCGCTTCCCACGTCCCTCTGATATTTTAATATATATTCCAGAGGTGACTTTTTGAAAAGACCGCTTTCAGACCCCTTAGACCGGTCGGAACCCACATTAAACAAAATAAACAATTACGTACACAAAACTATGACACCGCCTAACAGACTAAACAAGGCTGTTATACAAGATAATAATTAGACATGGACATTGGCCAATGCCCCGCGATACCCTAGCCCACACCTTACGTGCGATCGAGGCTTTCTTCTGACCCCAGGCGACACTCTGGGCACGTCACCGTAATAACGTGTAATCTCGCCTTTCTTCCCGGGTTTTCCTTAATAGCAGAGTCCTGTGGGAATTTCTTGCGTCCAGTCTTACGGACAGGCTTTTCCAGTCTGTGTTACCTTTGGTAATGCCTTAAAAAAACCACAAACAAACCAACCAACCAAAACAACCAAAAAAAAAACCCACCAGGGCTCTTACTCCAAACTCACCAGATCAGGGGTTCGGAGGATCTCCCCGAAAAGCACTTAGGTGACGCCAGAGTCTTTCCAATCCCGTGGGTTTATCAAGTTTCCGAGGCAGCATCCCATCCGGGTCACCGAAATTCTCTACTGAAATCTGCAACGAACCCTCCTTAACGCCAGGTTTAGCGTTAACGCATCGGGATTACTTTATCCGGCCAGGTACGCGAGGGAATCATTCCGCCTAACTCGCCTGTCATAAATTACCATAGCCAAAGCTCATATCATCCCGTTATATGCCTATTCATTAACTCATTATCGTCGTTATATAACTATTACCTGTGCGATTTAGGTCCCTGAGGGGCTTCCACGGAGGTCCTCGGCGGTCTATAGCAGTTTCTGGAGAGGATCCTTTCTCAAACTTTGTCTAGGTTTTAGAATGGGCCTTTCTTTGGTTTACGTCTGCACGTTCTTACATCCCGCCTGCCTTCAGCTAGTTTGTTCTTTTTCAGAGGGCCTTGACGTTGAAGGATGAGGGCTTCCTATTAGGAGTCTCTCAATTTGACACAGAGCCTCTCCACATACGCGTTTCCGGGGAGGTGTTTATCACGCTCACCTAGCCGATGGATCTCCGTGTGACAGATCACACGTCATAGGTGTTTGACCGATCGCTTAAGTTTTTACATTACGCTAAGCAATTTATTTTGCTTGGCCATTTTGCAACAGCGGTGTTTCGGTTTGCCATCAGTATTTTTAAATTCTTTTGTCTCTTCATCCCTGGGCTTTTACAATTGGCTTGTATCTCGGTCACCGCATTTGTTTTTAAATTATTTCGTCTCAGTTTTCCTCGTTGCTGACCTCTTAAATTTTATTTCTACATCTCCCCTGTAATTTGCCATCAATATTTCTTATTTATTTCATTATTTCTTTATTAACCATCGCTTTTAATGTACCCTGGCTACCTGTATTCCATTCGCGTTTTTTTCAAATTATTTTTTGTCCTTTGTTTGTCTCCACACCCACGTTCCCTCCGCTCCCCAGAGCCCTCTCATTCTCGTCACAACGTCTCTCGAGACAATCCTCGTATCTGACAGCACCGTTTGAGCTCCACGGCTCTCCGTGTACATCTCTTAGGCGGACAGATCCCTTCCTCGGGCTTTGTCCACACCCCAGAGCCGTCTTACTTAATCACCTGCCATTTCGGATGCATCCGTTTGGTCGGTCGTCCCCCGAGAACATCCGTACGTTGCGGGGATGCCTTCCCTAGTTAAGCATCCTGTGCGAGAGCCATCTTTTATGTTTGGCTCTTTTCCCGAGGCCATCCTCGTGCTCCGCCGCCCTTTATCGGCTCTGCTGTCAAAGTACCGAGGCCCGAACGACAGGTCTTGAGCCAAAGTCACCCTCTAGACGAATCTCACGACCAAACGTGTTATATAATGACCGTATCCAATCATTACTGAAATACGTAGCTTGGATAGAACATCTCATTATCAAGATAAGTAGCTTAGATAAAACAATACATGAATATACCGACATTTCCTAGTTTAGGAGCCAATTATTGAGGTTGATTACACAAACTCCCTCGGTTCCTCTTCTGTTGACATTTCCTAGTTTAGAAGCCCATTATCGAGGTCGAATATGCAAATCCCTCGGTTCGTCCTCGAGCCTCGGCCAGGCTCGGGAAAGAATCCCAAAGGAGAATGACGAGGCGACTCAATCCACCTGATGTCTTGCATGCATTTTGTCAGTTCTACACGTTTACACATTTGTTTGTTAACCCATCTAAAACCGGAACCCTCACTCAGCAAAGACAGAGACCTTGTCCACAAGCGGACGCACTGTGTAGGACTCGCCAGTTTCCGGGAAAGTCTCTCCGATCCTTCGTCGTGATGGGGCTCCCTGGCTGAAGCACGGATCCAGGCAATGGTAAAGCACGAGGATGATCGGCGATGTATCTTTCTTAATCGCTATGACTCATCTGGTATAATAAGGACTGGACACATTGCCTTCTTTTTTAAGCACCTCGTTTCTTACCTATCGCTTATTACCTCGAGACAGCCAGCAAAATAAGCCTATCTCTTTAGCTCAGCTTTTGCGCCCTTTGCGTTAACCCCATCGATTGGCAAAACGGCAGCGTGCTTTGTGCCCTCCGCGTGCCAAGAGGACCTTTCCCGACACTATAGTTTGTCTGCAGAAAGTTCACGTCTTCCTCTACAGTAGCTAGGACGCGTCTGTTCCATCCCCGGTGCTCAGAGAGCACACGTAGTCCATTCAGATCCCCTCCAGACTTCCCAGAGGAGGGATTCTCGTAGGATCTACCCCCACCTTGTCATTTAGTTCTATCCACAGCATAATTCCAGTAGAAGCTAGCTAGCGTGCGCAGTCTCGGTAGAAACGAAGCGTAACCCTATAGCATTTTGGTTGTTTTCTTGGAAACTAAAGCACATCGTTGTCGATAAGAGTATCGTTATTGCCGTTATTCAACTCTTTTGTTACAGAGCCTAATCAAATACCCATCTTTTTCTATGTATACCCTGGAAAAATTAAGCAGAACTCCCTACCGGGTCGCATCGCCAACACAACAGGCCCAGTAAAAGAGTGGGTATTGTCCTTTCTGGTAAGAGTTGCTTTCTCCACAGAGCGCTACGCGTGTTGTAAACTTCAGGCAGAGGAGAAAATTCCCCTCTGCTCCTCTGGCTGACTTTATACCTGTGGGGGTTTGGCCCCGCCCCTTTCCCAGGGGATTGTGGGCAGGCTGGTGGGCGGGCCAGTGGGCGGGGCCTGGGGTATATGAGCCCCGCCCCCGCTGCTTGTCAGGGAGCTCATTCCACTTCTGGGTTTCTCAGGTGTCAGTGCTCTCTCAGTCCTTTCAGTCAGTAGCAGCTTCTGAGCCATTTAAGCTTGTGAGACAGATGTGTTTTGATCTCTCGAGGAACAGAGTCATTTGAGGTAAGATTTTTCTGGACCGGTCAAGGTTCAGCATCATATATAGGAGATAGAATGTTTATATGTAGCATGCTTTTTTAATTTTTTTTTTTTTTTTTTTTTTTTTTTTTTACTTTACATTAGTAATTTTGTTTGGGAGGGCAAGAGAGTTTAATAAGATAGTTTCACATTTGGGATCATCTGAGCATCCGAAAGCAGCCAGGAAGTAGCAAGGCCGAGCACGGGGTTGGTGACTTCTCACAAGCCCAACAGTAACTTTGTCTCTCGGTAAGTTAGGTACTGCAAGCGTCAACAGCTGCAGCATCTGACTCCAAAACAAGCAGGTGAGTGGAACACCGCAATGCTTCTTAGGACGGGGGCAGGTTGTCGAAGAGGTAAGCGGGGAGCAGTGTGATACTGACCGGCAGTTGTGCACTTCTGTGCTATTTTGCAGGCGATAAAGGAATCTGGCCACTGCAGGAAAATGCTAGCTAGCTGCTGTGCTGTTTTTGTCGAGGATGGAATTGGACCTCCGGCCCTCTGAAAGCTAAGTCGAGCGAACGGGGCCGAGAGGAGGGGACGAGGTTGGGAATTGCAGGGAAGTGTTTGAAAGTTAGCACGGGGGAGAAGGCTGTACAGGAGCAGGGCCCTACGGTCAGGTAAAGGGAACGGATTACTTTTCCCCTCGATGTTAGCGTGTCCCGGGCAGGGCAGTTCCAGGCTCTGCGTGTGTCCATCGTGTAGTTTGTTTCTTCTGTCTGCCGTGTCTTTGCCCTTCCTCGGCTCTAAATGTCCTCGCGTCTCTTTGTGCTCGAGGAGCACGGCACGTGCCTGAGGCGCCATCCCTAGGGTATCGAACGCCCATCTTCATCGGCACGCTGCCGATCGGGTGCTTTTTATTCTTGCGTTATAAGCTTAAAGCGTGGGTAGGTCTTGGAAGTTTCCGGTCGGGAGTCTTTTGCGCAGCATCGTCGCAGGCTCTGGCGTCAGCTCTGCAATTTAGGCATCCGTTGTTCCCGCCGGTGACTTCTTTCCCGTATCCTGACGTTCTTAGGTCTTGAAGCCCTTCTTCTTGCGTACCCATCGTCTCCGTTTTGACGGTAGCTTCTCGTAAGGGGCCGTTCCGCTTAGTGCTTCTTGTAGGCTGCCGTATAGCCTCCTCGCGTCACCATCGTGGCCCTCCGAGTCTTCTCGCCTTATGGCATACCCTTCCGGGTGTCCTTATCGCTTAGCGTTTAGTCATCTTTGAATCGCGTCATTTGTAGTATTTTGTGTGTGTCTGTGTGGCTCGGAGCTGCTCTGCCCGGGGGTGTGGAGTCAGGGCTAGGTGGAATAGAGTTCACGGCTATGCTGTATGGGTTTGTTTTAAATAAGAAAACAAATCCTCCAACTGGGTGACATCTTTGTCTCCCCGGTGGGGTTTATTTTCACCCGGTCGCAGATGCTCTCTGAGGGTGACGGTCACGGTCAGCGTCTGGGTGAAGGTCAGGTTTGGGCCGGGATTTCCTCAGGCCAGGCGCTCGAGTCCCCCAGGAACGGTATTCAGGGGGTGACTGCCCGTCGTGACAGTTGGGCGGAAGGATGGGCCGGTGGAGAGTGGGGGTTGGTTCTGGCGGTAGGTGGAATAGCGGCATGTTTAGAATGTGTCTAGGTGTGTAAGAGCATTTGTCGTCTCTTTTCTTGCAGGATGTAGGCGGAGCTCAATTTGACTACGTCGACTGGATTCAATGAAAACCTCTGTCAGGGGAATAAACTTCTGTTTTTCCTGTCTCCTGGCTGGGTAGTTTTCCCCTGGTCCCGGCCGGTGTGCGATGCAAGGATCGTTATCTGGATTTGGGTGCAGGTCAGGCTCAGGCTGGAGTTTTTTCAGGCAGGATGATTTTTTGAGGCCCCCGTACCTGGTGTTTCTGAGGATCACGGAGGGTGATGGCTTGTGGCGGTTTTGGTGGTAGGGTGGCCGAGGGGAGAGCAGGTGGTGGTTTGAGTGGTAGCTGGCTGTGTGGTGTTTAAAATGTGTGTAGCGGTGCCTGAATGGTTGAAGTTTTGTTTTTTCCTTACGGGCTGTAGGTTGTGTAGCTTTGTTTAGAGGCAGTAGACAGACAAAATAGAAATTAAAAAAAAACAAACAAAAAACCCAAAACAAAACAAAAAAAAACCCAACAAAAAACCAAAACACCACCACACAAAACCAAAAATCCAAAAAACCCAAAACAGCTGGGGGACAAAAAATTTTTTCTCTTCCTGTCCCCTGGCTGGGTTTTTACTCCCCGGTCCCGGCCGGTCTGCGAGGCGACTGTTGTCGCCTATGTTTGGGCGCAGGTCTGTCTCAGGCTGGCGTTTTTAAGGCAGTGAAACAAAAAAGGGCCAAACAATGGGCCTCAAACCAAGGTTGACATCTGAGTGAATCCCCCGACCGGCAACCAGCGACTTATCAGCGTGAAAATGCACCCCTGGGAACGATCCCTGGGAACAATCGGTAAACGACAGGAAGTAACTATAAATCCCAAATGTACAGAAAAAGAGTAACTCCTCAGACATGCCCGGATCCTGGCCAGATCTGGACGTGCCCGAGTGAGGCATATCAACCTCCCAGATATCTCCCGTGCACTTTGTATAGACTTGTTTGTTAAACTGTATAAAAGCCGGACCCTCTCGCAGCAAAGACGGAGACCTTACCTACGAGTGGACGCACTGCGTGGGACTTCCCAATTGCCGGGAAAGGCTCTCCGACCCTTCGCTGTGACGGGGCTCCCCAGCTGATGCACGGATCTGGATGATGGTAAAGTACGAAGGCAATTGGTGATGCGTCTTTCTTAATCCCTAGAGCTAGCTTTATGTAGTAATGACTAGATGCGTTACCTCGCTTATTCTTTCTGCTGCTTTAAACCAAAGTAAAATAAGCCTATTTCTTCAGCTTGGTGATGTGTCCTTTGTGTTAACCGCGTCAATTGGCCAAACAGGCAGGCAGAAATTTTTTGGTGTGGCCTCCCCGGGAAC